TTACAGTCGTCGTAGAGAATCCCATCTGATTGTACTGACGTAAACATACCCACTATTTAAACAGCCAAATATAGGCCTGCTGTCCATGTTAATAAATTACCATTTTGTCTGTGGAGAATCCACAGCTGGACTCTGTGTGTTTAGACGTTAGAGGCCATATAGAGTCATGGTTGTGTGAATACAGTCCTGACTATATTACTCTGGATTAGAGCTGTAATAATTCATATTGAGGGCCCTGTGTGGTCAGTGGGAGGGAGAGTTGACTGCAGCCTGTTCAACATCGACTCCATGTCTTCTTTCTGTAAGGACGAGTCAGCCTGGAGAGCAGCTTCTCTGTTTGCTCTCAATGAATGACCACATCAACACACGACTGACAGACGTCTGTAGACTTCACACTAAATCTGTGGGTGATAGTCATGCAGTGGCAATATGAATATATTTATTGTTCATTTATTGAAAATAACATACAGAAATTCGAGCTTGAACCTGCAGTAATTAATATGTTTATATTAACAATGGCTCAAATGAAATGTTGTGTAAAAGTGCTCACTTGTAGTTACAAACTGGCACCAACTTTGCAAGGCAACTAGTTGACTAAGACTATGTTGTTCAGTTGTTTCACTGTGGACAGAGTTCTCTACTAAGGCCCTGTCTATACGTATCCAGATGTTTTTGTAAACTTACATTTTCCTCTACATTTGGGCCTCTCGTCCACATGCAAACAGAGTTTTAGGTCACTGAAACGGGTAGTTTTTCAAATGCCCTCTAAGTTGAAGATTTAAAACAAAGCGTTTGGAATATGTATAGACAGGACCTAAAACAACCTGGAAATGCTAGTGTGGATGCATTTTTTAACAAAAATGCACACAGTGTAGTGACGCAGTCTAAGTATAGTATACACTACCTGCCCAGTGAAGGCAAACAGACAAAGCAAGAGACTAGCTGGTGAACAAAGTAAAAGATTTAGCAGTTAAAGAGCCGGACATCTTCCTTGGCAGTTGGTGAAGACCACAATCAAAAGGATAGTGAAAACTGGACTTAGAGTTGCCAGTTGGCCAGAGACATAACTCCAAATGAAATGATGCCTCGGTAAAAAACAAAACACCCCCATCCCCTCCGCCTCCCGTTGACCAAGTCAGATCATATATCAACTTAGAAATGTCAATATGATACAAAGGAGACATGCAAATGTACTATATTTGTGATTTGCCGAAACCTACAATACCAACATTGTCTTGTGGCGACTGGACACAACTTGGTCTTGCTGCCCCCATGTGGCCAAAAAATCAGTTATGTAGGTTTGACCAATTTTAAGCTAAATATTTTTAGCCACACTAGCGGCAGGGCTCTGTGGATGGCAGTGTCAGTTTCTCATTCCACCACTTTGGTCCAAGTAGATTTACTTCAGACATTTGAGGTCCCCAAAAGACTTTAAATGTAGCGCTGCTAGCAGGTCAGATTTTCAGGTAGTCCAATACATTGATTTATTACCAAATACCTGCAGAACTAATGACTTCACCTTCAGCCTCGGCTGTACGTTGTTTGTAGGGCTAATTAGCAAGTGTTAGCATGCTAACATGCTAACATAGGGTTGCAACTGTGGTAAACATTACAGACTAAATCCAGTATTACATACATTATTATTTACATTTTACCTGTCAGTATGTTAGCAGGCTAACAATAGCATGTACTGTAGCTCAAAGCACTGCAGTACAGCCTCACAGAGCAGCTAACATATCTGTAAACTCTTGGTCTGGTTTATACATTTTTTTCACTTTGTCCATTTTGGCTCAAGTTGCAACACGATGAAAGATGAGTTTTAATATACTTTATGATGGTTTTACCACTGTACATTAAATACAGTTATTTAAATCCATAAGCATTAATGGCAGAAGAAACTGCACTCCTATTCTCAGTTGGACTTTTCTGCATTCATTCCACTGAATCACTTTTTCTTCTAAGTAAACATAAAACGTAGCCAACAAGTGGAAAATCCTCGGTCATTATTCATGAGCTCTGTGAGCTCAGAATGACTGGGTGTTTTGCATGGCTGAACACACGGCTCCGACGTTTTCGGAGGGTTAACTGTGAGGTTTTGGAAGTGTTCCTGTGTGACACGTGGTGTGTATTGGGGTTGGACTGAAACGCGCCAGTCACCGCTGCTCTGCTTTCACTTACAGTCTGACCCTCCCCTCCGCTGCGGAGCTGAGCTGATGCTGCTGGAATACAGTGTGCATCAATGACAGCTCGATATCTTTATACAGACAGTGACTGCTTTAATTAACAAACACACAGAATCAAAGTAACTTTAGTTAGACCTGATGTTTTTCTTGTTTCATAATGAATTGATATATCACTCATATATGAAGGTGGTTTTTAAAAATGTATTTGAGCAGGGACTGTCTCTTGTGCTGGATAAAAAGATTATTTATTGTTGTGCAAACCAACTTGTTAATGAGCTAAAAACATGAGCTAAAATTAATGCTGTAATATTTATTAAGCGAACATGTAGATGAAGAATTAGATGTTTGACAGTCTACAATAATCATGTACAAATTCCTACTGATGGCCTATAAATAAGACAACTGAAAATAATGCCATTCCATTGTTAAAAGCACAGTGTGCAATTCCTGCTTCTAGGGGTCTCTCAATCAATACAGTAACAAAAGACAGACTTTGATGTCTATGGAAACAACCACCATTGCAGATGAAAATGTAGAAATCATGTTCATGTATTAACATTTTATTCATGTTAAGTTTAGTCACATTTAGGTATTTCATTCTAATGAAATAGCTACAAGTTAACATGCTAACTTAGCATTAGATGAGTTGAATTCCCATATGCTGTAAGCTACTGTAGCTAACATCAAGTGGCAAATTCAATCATGGGGTAGCCCAGTGCTGTTATATGTGTTCAAAACAAGTCACACAATAACACAAACAAACTAAATGATCGAGGCAGCAGTAGACTAGCAGCTCCCATGTTCTGTGAGGTAGAATTACTGTTTTTGTCAAAGGAGTCTGATGCCTTCGAAGGAAGCAATAAATATAACAGCTTTAGTAAAATGTATTTTAGCCACCTAAAAAAAATCAATATCACATTAAGTGTATCCTATATTTTGATTTTTACCGCTTTACCTAGCCATTATACAACCCTTTCTAACGGGGAACCTTTGACAAAAACAGTGACAAAAACAACAGGTCTATCGCTGTGTCAGTTGGTTAGTTTGTTTGTACTATTGTATGACTTTGTTAAATCCAAACTAACTGTTCAAAACACCATACTCACTCAGTAACAACATTGTTGTAGCGTTATAACATTACCACATGCATTAGCTTGCTGGCTAGCATGAGCCACTTGTCATAGTAGCACATTGTAATAAGCTGGATCGATATTAAAATATATCAGTAAATTAGGTCTCTACTGGATTACTTTGTAACAAAATGACATGCAAGTAATAAAAAATGTGCTGTGTGATTGAAAAAAATACTGTATTACTGTGACTGAGTGAAATTCTGTGACGTTGTAAGATTTACAATGATGTATCATCTGTTTCTCTGGAACTGAGATCAACCATAAGGGGTAAGGGGGATATGACACCATTGACAGGCGACCAGATGATCATCTTTAAATAAAACTACAGCTTTATCTGGGTTTGAATATTGCTGGAATTCAAGGACACAATTCAAATAAATATATATCATAAGTCTAGTCATTTGTAGACATCTTAATTTGGTAATGCTACATATTATAGTTTACCTTCTTAATGTTGCCATGCTAGGTTTTGGGTGTTGTCCCAGTCCTTTTGTTGTTATTGGGATTGTGGATCAATTTAGTCCACAAATTCTTCTAGTTTCTGTTTTCCATACTTGAACCAGTAACATTAGCTATCATAACTGGCAGAGACGTAATGTTAATGAAATGCAGATTAGTGATGCGTGGGTCAGGGTTTTTGAAACCTGCACCAAACCAGACCCACAAACCCACAAACCAGAGCTGGAAGTTCCTGGTAATGACCATCACTAATAGCAAACTAATGCTGTTGGCTATAATGTATCTATTTTCCAGGAAACATCACAGTATAAAATGTGTGTTGTCTGTTTTAAAAAGTACAAACATACAAAGACGGCGGGTACTCACCCATCTTTTATGTCTTAAGTATGATGTAGAGCGAACAGCTGATAACCTATGTGGTTTGTTTACACAAGCACACCGCTGATTGTTTACATGATGTAACAGAAGTGCATATTTCACATATTCAGTTAGGACAGAGAGGCTTGCTTGCTGTTGGGACATGGTGTTAGGCCTACATATTTGCAGGGGGAAAGATTTTACCAGACATTATGACTGGAGAGAGTTAAATTTGTTGGACTTCAACAGATTTTCCTGGTCATAAGCCGAATAACGGAAAGCCTGAGTGCAGCAGTGCTGATGATAAAGCTGCTTGTTTTGTTGGAGAGACAGAGAGAGAAGAAGAGAAGGTGGATTATTGCTCTATGTTTCTGTAAGTTATTATTTTAGTTTAGTCAGAATGCTTTATGACCCACCCACCTGAAACCCATTATATGTTCTAACAAGCTTACCTGAACCGCCCGACCTGCACGTCACGTAGAGATGCATTTGACAGGTTCTTACAAAACGTTGAATTATCTCGTTATTTGCAAGAAAAAGCAAAGATTAGTCAGGGAAAAAAAGCACGTAGCTTAACTGCACCCCTATCCTGTTCATCATCACACAATCTCTAAAATTTACCTTAAGACAAAACCTGACCCCCAGGTTGTGAAACCATTGCTTAACTGGGAGAATTGGGAGCATTCTCACAGTTCATATAATTCACAGTCTGCCTCTGCTACTTTGTCCCCTTGTGGCCGTGCTGGTGAGTGCTGTGGTGAGGTTGAGCTGACGAGGTTTGGTGCTGGCGGACTAGAGGCTGTGCGGTCATGTAGCAGCTGGCTGTCTGGTCAAACTGTGGCGTCTGATTCTCTTCCCTCTCCTGCAGTGAACGACGTGGAGGAGAGCGAGGGGCTGCCGTCACTGGACAAACCCGGCTGGTACTCCCAGGGCAACTGGCCGCACCTCCTCGAGCTGGTCAAGACCATGACAGGCAAACAGGAGCCAAAGGTAGGCTGGCCACCTTGTACCTTGTTCAGACAGACCTCTGGCTGAACAACGTCTCAGGCTCACTTTGAGATTGACTCCAACTCTGGTTTTTGGCAGAGGCTGAAAGAGATGAGGGTTTCATGATAAATCAGCTCAGGGAGATTCACACTGGTGTGATGGAGAGAAGGAACGTGGCCCTTGGCATGACTCTCGACAGGCCTGCTGTGTGCCAGCATGCTGGGAGTTCACTGATGAAACAGGCCAAACAGTGCAGCCAACTCTCCTCATACTTCTCATACACAATGTAGCCCATTCTTAGAGACAGTTTCTTTTTGTACCTCTCAGGTATGGCAGAGAAATTAGCGTAACAAAAGCAAGATTCACTTTTTCTAGACTCCTGTGCAACAGTTGTTTATGTGACAGCAATATTCTGATATGGTAGATCTTGAATGATGTTCAGCTCTGCTTTCTTGCCCTGTTCTCATATGATAAAATCAAACACGAATCTGAAATTTATATCAAAATTATTACAATTTAAAAACCTTTATGAAGTGTTCTGTAGCTGGGATATGTGAGATAATAGCCTCCATTTGTTTTTTGGTCAGTAATACGGCATGTTTTTGGAGATACAAGTGTCCACGGTCATGGCAGTGCGATAAGATTTTGAAGATTCCCTATGTTACTGCCGCACCAACTTTGGCAGTCCTGGGAATGTGTTGTAGTGTGTAGACAAATAACCTATTCAGGCAGAGGCAGGGCACTGCAGAGTAGAAAAAGAAGGACAAACCATGTCATAGTGAAAAATCGCTGAGTCATCTGAGCCCTCTGCACTCTGAATTGGAGCCAGCCACAAAAGCTCACATTAGACAGTCCAGTGAAAGCTACTTGGCCTATGGTTTTTTGCAGGGAGGGGAAACTTGCTTTCCCACACTGGAATGCCTCATCTGTTGGGAAAATCTATCAAATGGTGCAGTGCTCTCACAGTAAGCACCGAAGGAGTTCTGTACTGTATGTTTACATGTGTGAAAAATTCACTAAGAATTGGTGTCATATGCTGTATTTCCACTGCACAGCTCTACTCAGCCAAGCCTGCTCTTTTTTTCCACTAGCAAAAGCTGTGTGATAGTACCTGGAACTTTTTTTAGTACCACCTCAGTAAAGGCCCCAAGTGAGCCAGATGAAAGGATTCAGCAAGTTGGAGATGATGTCACAGCAGTTTAAAACGGCATTGCTATGGCGATCAGCTGAGAATCACGTCTACACTGAGGGTTTACTAGGGCGGCAGTAGCTCAGTCCATAGGGACTTGGGTTGGGAACCAGAGGGTCGCCTGTTAGAGTCCCCATCCAGACCAAATATGGAGCGTGGACTGGTGGCTGGAGAGGTGCCAGTTCACCTCCTGGGCACTGCCGAGGTGCCCTTGAGCAAGGCACTGAACCCCCCCAACTGCTCGGGGCGCCTGACCAAGGCAGCCCCCTCACTCTGACATCTCTCCACTTTGTGCATGTGCATGTGTGTGTCTTTCAGACCTGTGTGTTAATGACAAAATAGTGAAAAAATTGAATTTCCCCTCAGGGGGATTAATAAAGTATATTAAAAAAAAAAAAATAAAAAAAATTAAATAGAGAAGGGGACCTGGTACCAAACAACGTATAAATGCGCGCCCCACAAAAGACGTTACATCCTTAACGTACAGTTATCTAATTAACATAAAGTTACGGAGGTTAGGTTTAGGCAAGTATAGTTACTGTGGTTAGGTGTAGCAAAAGAAACATGGTGAGGACATAATAAAATGACTCAAAGTTCACACAAATCAGAACACATGATCCCAGGGGAAAATCCTGGGTGAAAGTCCATTTTTTTGTGACACCACCCCAACCGGCCTCCTTACAAGTGCTCTGGTCTGCTTCCTTGTTTACTGCTGTCAGCGCATTGGTCACGTGATCGCAGCCTTTCAAAATGTGTGGGATATGTAAGAATGTGGGTGCACTGTTTTTTGGTACAGTCATTGCCTGTACCAAAAGTAAGCTGAGTCAAGTTGTGTTGAGCCATGTGCTGGAAATGAGGTTATAGTTTCCAAAAGTTTTGGAACAACTCATGTCAGCCCCTCATTAAGAAATAAAAATGAACAGTTACATCTGTTGGATGACACAAATATCAGAATTTCACGTGACAGCCTTTAAAATAAGTGACTGCTGATTTGTCATACTTTTTACTCGTGCCCACAGTCTTATACTTCACCCCAAGGAATGACATCATAACTGATTTATAACACATGAGGGTCAACCATCAATCACTGATACAAATAAATTAGATGGATTATGGCCAGATTTGAGCCAAGTTGAGTAATGCATTGAGTTCAATAGATAATTTAAATACTATATAGCATATATATGATGTCTAACAATGAAATCATATGTTACCATTGGCTTGACAGTCTCAGTAGTTCGTCAACTACCCCTGTAAGAGATCACTACTAAGCTTTTAGCACCAACTATTTCAGGGAGCGCACAAATGCCAGTGAATGTTACTTCACTTTATTCCAGTTATGAGCCATACTAAGGTCTGTAGCAGGTAATATTTATGTGGGTATTGTTGTATCCCACATAACTAAATCAAAAAATCAGGAGAGTCGGTACAGATGAGGCACAGGCAGAGCTGCATCAGCCCTGCCAAAGTTCACCCCGCAGCACTCGTCATCGTCCACATCCCTCTCTCAGCTCCTCTCCCCCTCCTCCCAGCCTCTCTGCTCAATGCCTCCTCTGTTCCCCAGCCACGTGGAGAAAGCTCTCATGGAATTCAGTGTCAACCTGCACTTATAGCTGCTTTAAACACTCCTCGAGGTGACCTGAGGCACTAGGTGTTTTCAGTTCTCTCCACTTTCACCTGACAGGACTTAATGCAGGTGGGCTGAATGGAGGCATTCAGGGGAGATTACAATTCCCTCTCAGCAGAGTGCTGACACTGATGGGGTCATGGTGGAGCTGATGGGACACAGTCATGGAGATTCAGGCCTGGCTACGGTAGTTGGGATCTTTCTGGGGTGTCTCTGCTGTTTTTATTAGTAACAGAGGAGTTTGGAGTCACAGTTGATGTCCGAATTGTAAAATTCCCTCAGCAAGCCAATGACAAAGCAGTAATGCTTTGTCTTCATAGGTTGATGATTTCCTAATAATTAAACCCAGATCGTCCCAGTGAGTCATTGCCTTTTGAAATAAGAAGTGTAATTGGCTGCCATTATAGAAGTCAAGACAAATTTGTTATCCTCAAATGCAAATGGCAATGGATCTGTCAATCTCAGACAATGTTCTGCCTCATTTATATTGGTCCTACTTTGTATACCGAGTCAAAAGATCCTCAAATTATGACATAATTGTACTTGAATTAATGCAAATAACATAACTTTAATAACTTCATAATGTTCTTAAAACTAGCAGGTAGATCTGTCTTGTTCCACTTGGTCTCAACTGCATTGAAAACACATGTAATGATCTCATCCTGTTGGCAGAGTCTTTCGCATCTTAAGGGTAATATAACATTTTTGGCCTGAATATGAGCCTAAATGACAAAATGGGGTTTTGCCCTGCTGTCTCATTGGCCCCCTCCTGTCCCTGCACTCCAGGCCCCACACAGTGTGCAGCACAATGGGTTCATTAAGGCCCCTCTGCATGCCTGCAGCTCTGTTTACCTGGGCCTGGCTTTGGCTTTAACTGCTCCTCTGAGTGATGAGCTGATAAGAGACGGGGCTGCAGGCCCACACTACAGGTCATCTTAAAGCAGCAGTGAGCTCTTTCTGATAGCAAGAGGACAGAAAGTAGACTCTTAAACACACTCGAGGCAATGAGTCTTGATGAGCTATATCTCCACTGAGACATCCATCAGACACTGAGGAGACACAGGGGCGTCACTCTGGAGTCCTTGATTTTGACCTGTTCACTGTATGATAAATCAATAATTCCTGGTTTAGAGTTCCAGATGTTGGACTGTTCTCACCATCCATTCGTTTACATCAGCTCATCTTCATCATTTCACTGGGGAATCAGTGACTGCCTTTGTGACTCATCCATACCGACTAATGCCGGGTAAAACACTACAAAAGAATCAAGTGGATTTCTGGCCCGACCCCCCCCCCCATCCTCACCATCGTCAGCAAGTATCGTCAGCATCGTAAGTGTGGGCCAACCTAACAGCTGTGGTTAGACGGACATAAGCACTGTTTAACAAACCACAACCCTCTCATTTATTCAATGAGACCACTGCATTGTTACATCAGGAGAGCTAATGCAGGCAAACACTTAATTTCCTGCATTCTGGTGAATTTAATGCACTAATTTGTGCCTTTTCTTCATCAATTTAGGATGGAATTATCTTAAATTTCATCAAAATAGAATTCCTCTGCTACATGTTATTATTGGGGGGTACAAATGTGCATATTCTAAATTTTGGGGGGGCATGTTCCCCGTTGTCATCCAGCGACTGGACCACAAGGCAATGCACTAGGTTGGCCAAGCAAATATGTAAAGCACACATTCTTGGTAAATGAGTGTGTAAGGCCATATTTCTGCTGTTTCCTTGGTGATTGTGATGGGCTCCATCTGTTTTTGTCATGATGATCCTCATAGTTTCATAGAGCGCTGTGAGGAGTTTTGGATTCTGATAAGCCTTAGAACTCATAGATCTATCACCCAAACAAGCCTTCCTCTGATTTATTCTCCACCTGAAACAACACAGCCGCACCAAAGTAGCACCTTCCATTTTGTTTCAACACAGTGCAGGTTTTAGTCTGAGCACCTGGGGACAAATTAAAACAATGAGCTGAAAGCTGACGAAAGCTACATTGTTGATTCTCAGTGGGATCAGTAGCAGCAACAACCCTCTTACATTAGAAAGTTGTGATGGTGCTTTGTGTAGTTTCAACATATCTAAATTAGTACCTAGCAGGGCAGTTTTAAAACATTTGTGGAAAGACAATTTCAAGTCTCAAGTTAATCAAAACAGGTCTCAAGTTTAGACAGCCGCAGGTCTTGTAGGGCTCAGAATGCAGACAATCAAAATGACAGAATTTGAACAAAGCTGTACTATTAGTCTGTTATCGAGAGTATAACTGAGACAAAGTTTTTCAATGCATAGGCCTAATAAATAGCCAAGTTCTGTGACTACAAAGCCTGCCATTTATTTTTTTCATTCCTCCAGTTAATTTTTCAAGGTTAAAAAAAAGTCTTTATGAAGTCAAGTTTCAAGTTAGCCTTGCCGTACAGGAGACAAGTCCAATGCCGCGTTTGTACTTCATGGTTCAGCTCTATTCAGCTAACTTTTGGTACGATGTTCTTTTCTCCATTAGTTTCCCCTGCAGATAGTACTCCCTCAGTGCAGACGTGGTTCTCAGCTGATAGCCACAGTGACGTCATGTCAAACTGCCATGATATTATCTTCAGCATGGCACTTGCTGAATCCCTTCATCAGCAACCAAACAGAGGAATATCTAAACTTCGTCAATTGCATGGTGTAGTATACTTACATTTTTTAAAATCTGGTTCAAGTAAATAAGAAATGTGGTCGCTATGGACAGTAGCTTGGCTATTTAAAAGTCACAGGTTTGTGTAGGATGTCTGTGTTGTGCCAGTGGTGATTCTCTTTGACCAGTCAGTGGTCTGCAGTGTTATAACTCCACCTTTCATTATCAGCTTGGCTCAACTGAGGTGAACCAGGAACTACCTACAACTTCTGCTGATGAAAAACCAACTAGAACAAATTGAGTTGAGTAGAGCCATGCAGTACCACGTAGTGGAAGTACGACATAAATCAAGTCTTAAGTCCTCATTTGTGGGACCTCTCATGTCTACAGCTCTGGTATTGATTCATGGAAAAGCTATTACGCCATTTGGATCATTTGACTTAATCCTAAAGTTCATAAAATGTAGGAATCTTGGAAAGAGGTAGAGTGACTCTAATGCAGAATACTTTCCTCCGTTCCAGGAATTATCCATAGAGTAGTAAATCAGTGTTATGAAGAAGTTAAATTCACCAACTCCATCAGCAGTAATTAAAGATTAAGAACACAGACACATCTTGCCTAGACCACCTGCCACTACATATATCATTTATAGAGTGTGCATCAAAGCACTGTGTGTGGAATTCATTTGAATCCGTTCAGTAAATGGCCTTGCATAACACTTAGTGTTGGCCAGACCTAGCGTGAGACTACGGGGCTGCTCAGGAAACTTTGATAGCGTCAAACTTGGTCTGTGCCAATATAAGCTGCACCGTGGCATTGCAGGTCATGCTCAGGGTTACGACAACAGCTACAGGCTGCATATACAACCAGTAGACAGTGTCATATTGTGTTGATGTGTTTGGATGAGAAGCGTTTGCCCGGCTGATTGAACTTCAGCCTGCAGTCTGATTCACTTCATGGTGCTTTGCCTCACGCAGAGCTCAGTCTGGTTCAGGCTAATGTAACTGTATCCATACACAATGAATCTCTTCTATAATATGTAGCCTCTGTGCTGGAATCCTCGGCCTCTGTAAATATTTATCATACTGATCCCATGACTCTGGCAGCAGCACTGCTGAGCAATGAGTAGTGCAGGGCTTTTTGGGGGTACGAAGACCAGCTGTGGGCAGTTCTGGGAAAGTCTGGTGGAAATGTGATTCCTGCTGCCCCCTCCCCGCAGGCCCGGCCCGCAGCAGCCCCGATTAGCCCGTCTGTTTGTTTACATGTGGAAGGGCCGGTCTCAGACACAGCACGGCTCTGTGAGGGGGAGGGAAGAGACGCAGCTACTGGAATGCCTCACATCCTCTTTATAGCCTTCTGACTCCTGTAGAGAGGTTGGATTTAGGTAGATCTCACACAAAGAGGCATCTGCAACACCCCTGCGTGTGATGGCTAGAAAGGGTTTGCATGATGTGGCTTGCATAAATCTTTGTTTTTCTGTGTTATCAAATTCATTCAGAAGATTTCAGGTGATGATGAAGAGCATGATTTTCATTGGATGGTTCTCCCACACAGCAGAGTTTCATCAGACTCCATTAACATAAGATAAGAATGACAGAAATATTTAAGTTTTCAGCCCAGACCTACAAAATAAATTCGAAATCCAGGCAGAAAGGCTGTATTTTAGACTTATTTTGTAATTGAACACTGAATTTTTCATATATTTGAACTTAATGTTCCATTTACTGAAAGCAACACCAATAAATGTTTATTTGTCTCAGTAACAAGGGTTTAAATGGCCATGTGTGATGTGAGACACTTATAGTTATGTAACCACAGAGAATTACAACCAAATATGCAGTTCCCCTCAGCTTTACAGAGCCTTTTATCCTCTTTCAGCTCAATTCTTTGGTTTTCTAGCCCACAGCTCAATTAAATTTTTAGTAGCACATCAATTTGTGCAGAAAGTTGAGGGATGTTTACACTTCTTAAAGGACCATACCATTAAATCTCCATGTTTTAGCCCATTTGTTACAAATCATATAGAAATAGAATGATAGTAGAACAGAGTAAAGTGTTTACTGTGGTCATTTGAGTGGTTCAAAAGAAAATGGTGATTATTGTTAGTTGTTATGGTGACACATACATCAGTGGTGCTGTAATGTATGTCACACTTAATAGTTTGAGCACTTTGTTTTGGCCTCCGTTTTGATGCTCATCATGTAGAATGCATTAAAAAACGCCTCTCCATGCTTTGTACTGCTCCACTGCTAGTTTGGCAGTCTGCAAAATCTCACCTCAGTGAGTTCGCAATTTGCTGCAAGTGGGTTTATACGAAGTTAGCCTGCAGTGGTACGCCAATTTTTTTTACCTAGAATAGTGAAAATATGACCCGCCCTACTTTCCCTCTGACTGGCTAGTTCTTTTTTGTTAGTTGATTGGATTGGTAAGGTTTATGCAAGAGAAGTGAGATTGGCTAGGGTTAGGGTAAGTATGTCAAGGTAAGCTAATCAGATGCAGAGTAAGGCAGAGTAGTGCAGGTTGTCTTTTCGCTATCCCAGGAACAAAAAATGACCCACAGTACCCATAAAATGTCCTCAGCTGGCACCATCATGCCATGTTTACATGAATGGAAATGTCCATTCTACTCTCAACGGATTTCTAGAATCAGAATCAGAAATACTTTACTTGATCCCCAAAGGGGAAATTATGATTCCTTACAGTCACTCTAGTGTAAATATCAGAGAATTATGAGAGGTAATAAAAAGTATGTAAATATGAAGTAAATGAAATTAGATAATAAAAAAGAAATAAAAAATAAAATGTGCGCTGTACTACAATGTTTAACACCAGTATGTAAAATATTACGAATATAAATACGTTCAATGTGCTGAGTCTGTAAAGTGTATAAAAATATACAAATTTGTGCATTGTGCTCTTTACACTTTGTGAACAGCTGCCTGCTGCTGGTGGAAACGGAGTTGACGGGAGCAGTGACACTCAAATGAAACACCAAAATTGTGGCTCGAAAAAACTGGCAATAAGTTGGCAATAATTCTCTATGGTTTCATCACTTCAAGCAACACCTCTCATGTTACATGTAGACATTTAATCCATTGTTAAAGGAGCTGTATATAATGTTCAAATATTTCTATGATTTAGTGTCTGATTGCTTCTCAACATGGAGACAGCCGAGCTAGCGGCTAGCAGCTATCGGGGCTAACAGCTCAAATAGTACTGACAGAGTTAACGGTGTTAAAAGGGGGACACCAGGGGGTGGGTGTTACGTTTTCGTGACGTCAGTGTTGCAGATATCAGCGATAACTGTAACATGAGCGCGGGGCAGAGCAGCTGCAATTTGCTAGCCATTGGGACACACACACAGGGACTCACACGCACTAACACACACACACAGTTGAACTGTCTACTACAACAAAGAACAGAGAAGCTCAAATTACAACATGCCATCACAGTATGCCATTACTCTCCTGTATCTCTACATAGCATATAGGGGTTTGGTTTTATATTAATGCTCTGAATGAAGGTATGCAGCGCCTTTAATGCGAGTATATTGATTAGTGCAGCTTTAAGGAGGTAAAATTTGTCAAAACTTAAGATTGATCCTTTAATAGCACTGCATGTGATATTACCAGTAATTGTAGGTCAATAGTGAACTCATTTATTGATTATTTGCACTTTGCACAAAGATTTATTTCAAGCATTGGGTAGAAACAAATCTAAACAGTGACTTCACTGTTCAGTATTCCCATGAACTGCTCTCTGGTCTTTCACTTTGAATCCTCTTCTTACTAAGTATAAAGCCTTTTTCCTGTGTTCCAGTGTCAGCAGACTTCTGTGTCTTGTCATTTTAATCTCCAGCATTCCCCGCTTCTCACTCCATTTCCTCTCCCATTTAAAAGGGAATCGAGGTAAATGGCTGTTGAAATGGGATTTAAAGCTTTGAGCAGTGTGCGCCTGCACTTCACTTTTGGAATGCGTCTCAGTGAAGCCTGCCTCAGCCTGCTTTTCTTTCCAGACGTGGAGGACAAAGGAGATGTGATGGTCAAAGAGGTGGCGATGAGTTTTGCAGACTCATCGTGTCTGGTCTAGTTTGCCCTGGGGGGCCATAAGACATATGCCAGCCGACTTTGACTCCTGCTAAGAGAGGAATTTAGCTAAAGTGCAGCCTAACCACAGCACTTAAACTATTTTGTGTAGCTGCTGAAAGTAAACAAGCTCTCTGTCCCTTTCTTTTCCCCCCTCCCTCACCCTGCAGGTAGTGTATTTTGGAGATAGCATGAGGTCGGACATGTTCCCTGCCAGCAGCTTTGGGAAGTGGGAGACAGTGATGATCGTGGAGGAAATGGAGGGGGAGGGCGTTCCGAAGAGTGATGCGGCGATGTCCAATGAGGCCCAGGTGGAGCCGCTGGAGAAAAAGGGAAAGTTTGAGGTAAGTTCACTGAAGCAGCTGTTTCAGTTTAGCAGGGAGCTTTGCAGACCTCTGAAGCCCGCTCCTCAACCCTGCTAACAAAACCCACTCTCCAACCCAACCGTTTGCGCTCTCGTGGCATTGTGGGTAATTAATGTGCCAGGTTTTGACAAAGGAAGAGGAAATGTGTGAAATTAAAAAAATTATATCTGGTTCTGCTGCATTGATTTTGAGCCTTTTTGAAACTGTCCATCACGAGACTGTCAATTGTTGAAGTGCTCTTGCTGTGAATAAAGATGTAATTTCAGTGAGTGCCGCCCTCTGCCTCACAAAGCAGATGAGGACTTTAACCAGCAGGATGTTATGATACAGGTAGTGACACTGACTGTGCTGAACTTATCAGGAATTCCAGAATAACAACTGATACTCAAACACAGACACGTGGATCCTGAGGAAGTGTGAGGAGGCCACAGACCTCCACTGCCAACATTTACTTGATTAGCATTTGCTGAATAATAAAATAAATGAGTTGGCAGCAAAGGTTTGACATGATACAACCTTCAGACAAAGCAATTTATTATATGTTAAAGGAAGTACGCCTAGAGAGGAAATGAACCCGCAATCCAGGCTGAAAGGGGTGAACTGTGAAACTTTGCAGATAATAAATGCATGACATGTCCAGAGTCCTTGAACCGTCCCTGTCCATGACCTCTTATATTATCTACCTCTTTTTTTTTTTTTTTTTTTTGTAAATTATTTTCTGAGAGAATTTGGCTAGATCACTCTCACCTTTTAATCTTCCTGGACCAGACAATGTCAAAATAACAAACCAGATAATAGACAGTTAATGCACTCCCTCGCTCTTTTGACCAACCAGCAGTCATTCTTGGGGATTTATACAAATTGGGATGTATTTTATAATTCTTGTCACGTACATGAAGTGACAAGTGTTATCACATTCTGTATATTTTCTGTAAAGTAGCTGTGTTAAAACAAAAGTTGTTAAAATGTTCCAGAAAAACAGGCATGGGTTAAATAAGAGAAAAATCACCTTTTTGATGGTGACACTGAGCTTGTTTCGGAGTAAAAGAAGGGAACCTCAAGCTCTAGTTCATCTATGTCTTGTTCCAGTAGCCAAATTCTCATTAGATTGCCCTGGTTCCCTTAACATCTGACCTGGACCTTGTTGACCCAGGTGACGTGCACCAGTATGACTCTTGCGTTTGCAATTTCACTCATCTTGAGGTAGGTTAGGAGCATTAAGAACTTTGCCTAAGAGTCCACACTGGATCATGATCAGGAATTAAATCCCAGTCTTCCGCGCCAAAGTCAGTAGTTTAAACCACCGACCGATCAAGCTAATTATAACAATCCTGAGCAACAGCAACATCCAGAAGAAGGAATGTGAGAAGCTCGAAAATTACCAAGGGCTGAAAGGGGAGCTTGAAAAGATGTGGGGAGTAAAGGCAACAGTGGTGCCTGTGGTAATCGGAGCACTCAAGGGCTATGACCTACACACTGGGAGAGTGGCTTCAGCAGATTCCAGGTAGAACATCTGACGTCTCTGTCCAAAAGAGCGCAGTCCTAGGAACAGCAAAGATACTGAGCAGAACCCTCAAACTCCCAGGTCTCTGGTAGAGGACCCGAGCTTGAGGAAGACGCACCACCACCCATGGTTAGCATTCGAATACTGATTTGATTGTCAACTAATTGACTGAAGCTTTGAAGCATTGGGGTCAGCCCTTTGTTTCACACACAGAGTTTTTGATGATTAGGAGTATAACAGTGGGGTATTTATGGTGCTGTGAACGCACTTATGTGCTCAAAAGAGCAAGTATAAGAGCAGAAGTATGTATGTTAAGACAGAGAACATGATTCAATAATGGCTGTTTGCGAAAGGTCAATGATCCTGGTGAGTGCAATGTTAGTGCTGTAATATAGTGGAATTATCTTTTCATATTAACATTTGTTTCCTCTTGTAAACACAAACACCACTTTGCTGTGTGTCAGAAGTTGGTTTTAAAAGATGAACAATAAGAATTTTGATGAAGCTGAATGTCGCCAGTTTGTCTAAGAAATTAAACAAAGCTCTTGACTTCAGTCTTGCGTATCGATCCCCTGAGTGAGGACGTTATTTTAGTAGATGGAGCCGGATGTGAAGAACATTACTGACAAAGATGAAATCTCGGTGGTGAAAGATCAAAGTATTTACAGACTTCCTCTTCCTGTGCCCCTTTTTCATTTACCAGCATCATCTCAAATACTCAAACTGATTGTGCATGGCTATAACACAGCAGTGCTGTAATCCCCATGCATGCACTCACTGTAATACTGCAGAGGAGGACCTGGAGGCAGACACATAGGCAATGTATTTGGTGATGGGTTTGATCCCTCTCATCTGTGTTGAATTAGGTCAGAGGTTTGTGCCTCAGCCGGCTGAAAGAAATCCCCCATCCTCAGAAATACCTCAGGCAATCCTACTGTGTTCTGCTTTTTGGTTCCCTCTCAAAAATTATATTTAGAAATATTTAATACAAATCTCTGTGGTAGCATGATCTTTCTTAGTATTTCCTTTTTTCTTCTCTGAATATTATGTAACAGTTCCTGATGACATTAGATTATACTGCACAGAGTGCTTATTTATCACTTTGGTTGAGCGTTATGTGTCTTATCACATCCTTCTTTTAAACACCACATCCTGTTGTCAAGACGATCACTGCTCATCAGCTCTTTCTGTGCATAAAGAGTATTGATGTATGAGTGATTATGGTTAAGAGAGCAGGGGATCTCTTTGAAATGTGATTCACGCAGTAGTCAAAATAACCCTCAAAGCTGCTTGGGTTAAAGCCAGTTTGAAGTCTATATTCCCTGTGCTCCGGGTGGAATTCCCACCTCCTTCTATCAGGTCTGCACATGTCTGAAAGGGAATCTTTACTCACAGTTACATACTTTGCTTTGTGTGTGGACTGTCTCAACAGGAGCAGGGCATGAAGTCACCCTCTGATGTGTCCAAGCAGTGGGGCTCCTACTTTGTCGACGTACATAAAAGCGGAGGAGGTGACGAGGAGACCCAGAAACTGACCTGGTGCTGCCACTGCATTCACAAATATAGCACCATGGCCATCCCTAGTGTTGAGCACATAGCAGGTATGTGGCAGGAGACAAGATGCTGGAGGAAATTACTGACAGTGTTACACATCTGCAGTGGATTGATGGAGATGTGACAGCAAAAAACAAGGTCCAAATAATATTAACAGCAATAATCATAATAAACTTTAAGAGCACTTGTCTAAATCAATGATTAAGTGCTTTACAACTTTAAAACAGAAAAAAAGACTACAATAAATGTAAAATTGAGTACAGAAAAAATAAGAAGACCAATTAAATCAAGTCATATGACATGATAAAAAACTTCAAAATGACAAATCATAAAATAAGACAAAGTTGAATGAACTTAACTTAATAAATCAGCCCCGAAAAGATTATTTGAATATTAGTTTGGTCAGGACCACTTTAGTCAAAGAAAACTTTATTTCCATTTGCAGTATGATATTTTGTGGTATGGCTCCGTTCTGGGGCCTCTCTGCCTTTCCTCGGGCCTACGCAGAAAACCTCTTCCACGTGCCTACATGGAAATCATAAGATGGAGAGAGCACACCTTTCCGCCCTTCCATGCGCCTGCGTGGAAAGCCATAAGGCAGAGAGCACACCTGTCTGCCCTTCCATGTGCAAATGAGGAAAGCCTGAGTGCCTACATGGAAAGCCTAAGGCAGGGAGAGCAACAGCAAAGAGGTGGAGGTGGGTTGCAAAGTGGCCTGCAGAGGAAGCAGCAACAGTAGGCAGGCCAGAGCAGTTTAAATAGGGCGCCCTGAATGACAGAGTATAATCTCTGTGTGGCAGTAGTTGATTACGATTTTTTTCTCTCTTGCCTGTGTGTCTTTGTGTTATCAGTCTTTGTAACCTCTCTAAATTCAGAGTTTTTTGCAGCTCAGTGAACGCCTCTCAGGCAGAACTATTCCCTTTTTCCTTCGTGGCATTTTGTGGAGTGATGAATAACTGATCAGTCAATCTGATCATAGCTGATCAGATATGGTTGACAGGTGAGAGGACCAGTTGTTTGTGAGTGAAAGCAAACTTTTAGACCCAGCAAAGTGAACCATTAAGTTTCTCTTTCACTGCGCTCTGTGCTCTCAGAGTGTGGAGAAATTAATTACTGAATGATATATATTCCAGCAGTGCTCCTTGTGAACGGTCCAGCTCCAAAAATAGCGAATCAAAATGTGGCGGCAGATGTTTTAATCGCTGTGGGCTGCCAACAATAAATGAATGTGTGGGAAACCCTGGATAGTGCTCGGCCCATTTTGTGTGCAGAGGTGTGGGACAATTAATCTCCTGTGGGAGTGTCTCTCAATAATTAATTGACAGCAAAATACCGAGACACTCCCACTTTTCAGATTAATTATTTCACAGCTGTGCACACAAAACGGGAGGAGTACTATCTATTTAAGATTAATGTTGTAAAAAGTTGTATAAAATATTCTTGATCAAGGTCCAGAGGGAAAGAAACCTTAGTATAACCAATACCTTGCTGGATGTGGAATTGCTGGATGTGCAAATATTTCCTTTAAAAAAAAGAGTTTAAATGAAGAATTCCTTTGCCATCTCAAACAGCACTAACTGCAAATAAAACCTGGATCCAAAACTTAAAGGCTTCTTACTGAAATAAGATGAAATATACTTATAAAACAGGGCAATTCAGGATGAAAGATTTTGCTGTCACATGAGCCTGTGGTTTCCAATGCAGTTCAGCAAATACATTACACTGCACTGATGTTCTTTAGCTCATCAACACTGTGACAAAAACAAAACTCATATTTTATTTTCATCACCCAGTCAAAGTGAATATTTTTGCCAGTGCTTTCCTGTAAATGCCCCCATATGGTGCCCAGACAGAACACGACTGAGAGTCAAACTCTTGGTGTAAAAACAGGAAAAAACAATCTGACGTGAAACTTTTAGCAGTTAAGAATCTCTGTTGCCACATCAAACATCCTTTCCATCATTTCAGGACAGAAACATTTACAAGAATCAAAAGAGAACTGAACAGACACAGATGTGGAGCCAACGTTAAAATTAACTCAGCTGCACAGCACTTCTGGGAAAACAGTACCAGCCTCACACAGATTCCTACAAATGTATTTAACGATCAGCTTAGGGCTCTTTTCACACCGGGATCATTTGTCACAGTCTGAACATGGTTGGAATTGACCCCCACCCCCGACCGTCTTAGTCTGCTTCACCTTTGTTTACTGTTGTTGCTATTCATTTGTCTACTGCTACCCTTTAAAGTGCAGGTGTTTACAAGGGTCGCCAGGAAACCTCAGTCTTGATGTCTTGGTTTTCTTGGTAACAAAGACAAGAACTATTGATGTTAGCATACCGTGTGCATGATCTTCTTGCAGCGTGCAGATTGCACTGACACACAAACCACAGCACAGTTTAACAGGAACAAATGTCAGACAGCTTTAAGGGTTCAGTATGCTTCAGGAGGAACTAGGTCTGAGGTAGAAGTGTTTATAGCTAGATTCAAAAGTGGGCCAAAAAAATATAAAAATGGCTGTAGTGTTTAAACAAAAGTCAGCAGGAATGCAACAAATACACAATTTAAAGTTAAAGGAACCAAACTTGTCACAGCACTGGTAAACACTGGCAGCTCTACGTGACAGCACAAGTACTTTCAAATCAATACACCAACATCAAGTACTCATGTTGTACAACCTGTACAGAATGTTCGTCATTCAGATCATTCTGGACCTGCAAACTTAACTTCCTTTGATGTTAAGATCTTCTGGGCAGCTTGCACCTATTCAGTTGCTATGGGACATGAGTGCTTCTCAAGGCAGCTGCGTTTTAAGCACTTGAAAGCAGTAACATCTCTTATTCACTATCAGGCATCCGTAACATCATGATGCACATGAGCTCTTTAGAAAAAGAAAGCAGCTTATGACGTTCGCCTTCCAGATCCAGAATACTGCACCACGACTACTTCTGTTCATGACGCATCCAGTGCTACAGTTTGGCAGAGTGTGATGTACTAATGGATTGGGTTAAAGGGACAGTTCACCCTAAAATCAAAAATACATATTTTTCCTCTTACCTGTAGTGCTATTCATCACTCTAGATTGTTTTGGTGTGAGTTGCAGAGTGTTGGAGATATGAGCCATAGAGATGTCTGCCTTCTCTCCAATATAATGGAACTAGATAGCACTCAGCTTGTGGTGCTCAAAGTGCCAAAAGTCAACAGCAATGTCCAGAAGTCATGACATGGTTACTCAAGATAATCCACAAACCTTGTTGTGAGCAGTTCATGGAGAAACTACTTTCTTTCTACCTACACCCACCAACCGTATCACTGCGCAGAAGGAAGTGTGCATCTACTACTAGCTCACCTAACACCGCTGAACTAGCTAACGTTCCAGCTCAGCTGAGGAGGACGCCTTAATGTTTACATCTTGTGTGAGTATGAGCCTCTCGTCCATGCATAGATGCACGATTCCTTGTGCTTGGTCATACAGATGGCAAGTGTAGAAACTGACAGTAGTTCCCACATGAAACTGCTCACGACAAGGTTTGTGGATTATCTTGAATAACTCACACCACAACTATCTATATTAGTACTACAGGTAAGAGGTAAATATTTCTAGATTATATTTTTGAATTGGGGGTAAACTGTCCCTTTAAGGCCAATTTATTCAAGAAACTAACCAGTGTCACCAGTTGTCTGACCAAGTCTGAAGCCAAAAGAGTTTATCGTTGTTCCAAACCACCACAATTAAAGGCAGGGCAAATAGCCTGTCATTACAGAGGGGAGCACAACATGATAGTTGTTTAAATATGGGAATAACGGCAAACATTTTATGACAGTCTTCTCTCAAGGCATTGATGGTGCTTAAAGGAGGATTTTCAATTCTGTATACTTTCTGACCTCTGTGTTCCTGGCCAATTGCTGCGTGAAGTGGGTGTGAATGTTGGATTGTCCGGTTTGGAAAGTTACAAAAAATGTCAGATGCAATTCCAACATTGAGAAGCATTTCTTTTGAAGCATACTGACCCTTTCACACTGCCAGCTTGTCTGGAGTGCAACACAGACCATGTTTGGGAAAAAAAAAGTGATTAGAATGAGGCACTTAGCTGAAAAGCAACAATGAGAATTTAAATGGTAAGTATGGTATTTTTTAACGTGGACACCTATTTTCCCATGTTTTTCTGTCCAAGTGGCTAATGGGAACAACAATTTTTAAAACTGGCACACTATTAAGCGAGACTGCTGCAGCCGGCAGCAGCAAAACAGGGTGCAAAGGCACCATTTGGGGCGTTTGTGCACCGTTAAATTACATCCACTAAAAGTGTTTGTTTTTGCCACTGACGTGTCCAGATTATTATTTTAAGTGTCTGACAACTTATGGAAAGCATCCCGACAGAGATAGACATTTTTGGTAAAGAATAAGATCCTTTTTGTTTAACCAGAAACAGCCCTGAAATCACTTTTGCCAAACCCACCAGACTCCATTTGAATAAACAGTAATTTTATCGTCATAAAACACACTTCATTCAAAGTAGACAGAAACAAAATAAAACTCCAAAAACCCATCTTGGTTCGTCTTTTCACTGTTCCAACAATCACCAACTCTGGTTTGGTTGAAATAAACCCTTAATTCACTGAGTTAGATGTGAAAATATGTTGGCTCTATACATGCTTAAATTACTGTTTATTTAAATGGAGTCTGGTGGGTTTGGCGATGGTGATTTCGAGGCTGATTCTGGTTAAACAAAAAGGATCTTACTCTTCAGCAGAAGAGTATATATTTGTAGGGCGCCTTTCCATAATGTTTTCAAACACTTATAATAATAATCTGAGCCTGTCAGTAGCAAAACAAGCACTTTTAATGGATGTAAATTGACAGTACAAACGTGCACTGGGTGGTTACATTTCAGCCTGTCACTTTTTCATCCCACTTGAGTTCACAGGCCTGTAATTTATGATTGTTTTCTACCAGAGTTGTCTCTTCGGAGGAAAAAGATCAAACACGAATGAGTCCAACATTCCCTGGCCTGAGTGATTATTACCTGCTGTTTAGAACAAAGTGTGCTTTTCCACTGAATTATGAATCCTTGGTCTTGAACATTTGCTGTTGCTTTTCAGTAGCAGTGATGCCTTTAACATACAGGCGGTTTGCACATGTACTGAATAACCTGCAGTTGACTTCCCTGTTTGATTTTACTCTTTGTAGATCTCCCTCTGGATTACAAGTTCCCCAGGTTTTCTCCGGATAAGCCCTGCACCACAGGCTACTACCCCAGGCCCCCGGATTCTTTGCTGAAATGGTGCGAGAGTCTGTCTTAAAAAAAAAAGGAAAAGGTTAAAAAAAGAAAAAGTCCTCCCTAACCCCTCTGCCTCAGGAGAGGAATGTGCCTCCATTTTTGCCTGTAGTTTCCCACCTGACCCCGCCGCCATCTGTGGAGCACAGGAAGCATACACACCTCACCCATTCGGAGAAACCATGTGAATGTAAGCCACAGTATCTCTCTGTAATAACACCTACATTTGAACGTCGTTTTGTGGTTTAGTGTACCGTACACGTGGAAATACGACAAAATAAGTGTGTATGTGTGTGTCTGCATACAGTAATAATAGGAAATGTAGTGTTTTTATTGTTTCATGTGTGAGGCCCCGTATTATTTTCTATGGTAGATTGTTTAAAAATCAGAATTCTTCGAACTTTTCCAAAATAAAGTGAACATTTTACTGTGTCTTTATCCCTGAAGTGATTACCTCAAGAACGTTATCTACTGTAAGCAGAACCCAGATGGTCACAGTGTGTTTGTCCCTAAAAATCCTTTGGAGTCATTGTGTCAGTATTTCTGTACAACACTGTTATTGTGAAGTCTACTCTATTTTTTAAATATAGTTTTACTGTATGCATTTTTAGTAACCTTAACATTAGATTTAAGGTCTACTGTTTACCCTGTGTCAGTTTCGTAGAAGGTGTTAATCTTCAGGTCATTGTTGCTAACGAAATGGCACAATGCGGTCCTTTGTGTTGGCTGTCTCAAAAAACACTTTGAGAAACACCTAATAATAATAATGGATGATGAAGACTATGCTAGATGTTCTCTGTATTATTTTGGTGCAACAGTGACATGTGCTCTTTGAGTGATTGTGTAAAAACGTGGACTACTTGTGCTTCATTCATATGCAGTACCACATTGAGATATGCTTTACCGACTTTTGAATGGTTATTTTGTCGGTGTGCATAGACAAGTTGTGCCATAATATTTAAGGAACACTAAGTTTGGGAGAAATCTGTGGAAGTTTGCTTGTTTCTCTCATGTCAGTGAAGATTGATTTCGGATTTGTCTCTGTGAATCCAGGAAGTAGCCAGCTTAGCACTGAGACTGGACCACTATTCCGTCCAATGGGGAAAAATACAACTTGCAACAACTCCAAAACTTAAATGTTTCATCTTGATAGCCAGCAATCTTGACATAAAAACAAGAGTCAGTTGGGTTTATTTGACAGCAGAGTTTGGACTGTGTGCAAACTAGAGGTCATCACAGATCCATTAGTTGTATAGTGACTGAGAACCGATCAGGTCTGAATTATATTCGGTGTCTCATAGAGTGCTTCAAAAATGCGTCACAAAGCCTGAAAATGGGTGAGTGTCTTTTTACTTCAGGTTCCCTCATCTCAAAGTCAGCGGGTTTTTTAATTGTTTTTTGCTCAGATGAAATTAGTTCTGTGGTTATCACAAGCTTAAGAGGCTTTCTTGCTTTGTTCTACGACATAAAATACGTCAGTAGATGCCCCACCTATGAATTTTTAAGCTTTTACGTGTCCTAAAAAAGGTGGTCACTAATTAGAGAAAAAATAAGACTACAGAACATCATCACACTGAACACGACTCTACAGTCTTGTTTTGGTGGCGAAGTTTAAGTCAGGAGACTGTTGTGTAGTTCATTTAGAGCCTAACTTTAGCTTTTTACTTCCAGCGATTGCATTTACGCACAAATCATAAAGGTTGTGTTCATTTGCGAGGATTATCTTACTGAACAAAATTTGTTAGTATCATAAATGTTTGTTTGCCACAGAGCATTTTTTTTGCAATAATCCAAAATCCAATGCAAAAATCCCATCGTCTTTTTGTCAAGGGAACCATGGCGATGCTAATTTCCGGGTTGGGCTTCAGAATAAGTCATCCCTGAAGCACTCTATTTGGCTGCAGTCACATCCCATTTCCGAGTCTTGGTTGTGGTACCTAACTGGACCCAGAAAGACTCAGTATTCGCTATCATCTGTTTGGGTCAGTTCAGGTCAACCAATTTTGGCTCCGTCTAAATATCCTTCTGGTCACGTCTGAGTGTTTGTGGGTCATGTCTGGGCTGTTATCATGAAAAATAATCTGTAGGCAATGGGACAAGATCTTTGTATCCAAAGCGTTTTGGTTGTAGTCCGAGTAGTATTGAGGGATCACATTTGAGCAGGCTTTGGTTCCCTCTAGGTAAACAGTCCATGTGGAGAGCAAAAGAGGCAGAACACAGTGGCCAAAATGCAATCTCAAGACCCATCGCCTATGTCTGACGACTTAGCTTTTCATTAGATAGCTAGTTAGCGCAGATGTTGTCTGGACCTGTCTCAAGTTACTAATTAAACTGTAAACAATGACCTGCACATGGAAGAGGAAGTCTTCACTGGAATGCCCAAAATATTGGCCATTGCCCCTAGAAGGTATATCATCGCCAGACCGATAACAGATGGATGTCGAGATTGGTGTAAACCTGGCAACCAGGCAGGGAGAGGACATTTGAAATGCCACAGGCTAAGCTGTTAAGTTAAGTTCGAACAAACAATGACGCACAAATGATTAGTTCGAATAATTTGAATAAAGTCAGCAAATAGCTTTGACTTTGTCTGTGAGTTCTTCCATGTTACATCTCAGGTGGGCTGCTGTTATCTGTTCAGCACATAGCTAGTTCATGAAATTTTGCATTAGTGAAGGGAACAACAATAGCCTAGTTTGCTAAGGGGCAGGCAATAGAACAAAGTGACAAAGCTTTTCATGGTAGGCTACACCCTCATTGTTTGACAGAAACAAGACACAAATATAAATAATACTAGTTTGGAGTGTTTAGATGTACTTCAAATGGAGCCATGAAAGCTTCTTGGCTAGCTGCTAGCTTGTTTGCCAGTTAGTTTCTTTTAGCCTTTGGGCTAAGCTGAGCTAAACATCCCGGATCAGTCTCTAAGCTAACCACACAGAGATGAAACTGATTTCAATCTTCTCATCTGGCTCTGAGTGACTCATCAAACAAGGATTTCCTAAACGTCCTCTCAGATGACCATCATCTCACAAATGTAGAGAGAATATTTTGACAATAAGCAGCATTTAGCTGTCAGCATGTATGTGAGATTGGTCATCCAAAGTGAATTATTACTTTTGCTGTGTGTGCAAGTGTGTTATGCATACAGCTGTGGTGATTGTATTTTTATTTTCTCATCCAACCTGGAAAATTTGACATGCACATTTGCCTTATGTTGGATTCATTTGTGGTCTTAAGTTATTGAAAACACAGGGAAAGTTCAATTCTGTGTTCAAGTGTTGAAGTACTGTCAATGAAATAAAATGTTCTACAATTTTCTTAAATAAGGTTTCCTCTTTTGAGTCTTTTTTGCAAACTTCAGTAAACAAAGCCCCTGTACTGTACATACACACACTGAGTATACAGTTCAGTTGCACAGGTTTAATGAGAAACAAATGAAACCAAATCTGAGACATGGACTGGTTTACTCCCATTCATGAATCATGACAACGACTAATGTGTGTAAATGGGAAGAGAAGCAACAATGTTTTTTCTCCACAGTTATGTATTTTATTTCACCCCACCCCCACCCTCATGTCTCCAAAGCAGCTCTGCAAAACATGACATTGAACTGCACTGCAGAGTCAAAGCCCTGCCTCACATTTGTCCCCCAGTCAGGGTTCAGCTGTAGCTACCAGCTGTTGTGATACAGTCTATTCACCCTCTGAATATAAATAATCATTTCCCCATGACTTTTCAACCTGTCAGACAACAGCATTAATGGCTTTTTTTATTGTTGTAATTTGCTGAACAGAAACCTGAACAACAGATTTTACACATGGACTGATGTTAAAGTCGCCTGCATACTCACTCCAGCTGGTTTGTTGACCTTTATTACTGTCTGAATCCAATGATTCTAAAATACACACTGGTTTAAACAATATTCTGTGTCGTCTGCAGCCAAGTAGACTTTTAAACATGCAAAACATAGCTATACTAAACATTACAGTAGCTACTTAAGGCGCATCAATGTAACCAAATCTTGACTACTAATCTAAATGATAAAACAATTACCATTTTATTAAGCACAGACAAATACTACAGCCCAATATAAACTACAGAATGACCATAAAGTTGAACCAACACCTCTTCATAACAGTTTTAACAGAAAATGAGCACCAGAGTCGTCATGAAAGGAGGATTTATTGCATGAGTGTTGTATTAGACTGCGTTAGCTTGAGTGAGGTGGACCTAATAAGCTGGGAGTGGAGTTTACATCCAATGGACCACTCACACTACAGAATGAGGTGTTAGTAAGTGATATGTCCTCAGTTTTCGGGTTTAGTTTTCAGTATTTAATTTTATAATGTGTGTGGGGCCCAAAGTGTCAGGGGCTCCCCTGGCTTTCACCAGTAAAACGTCACTCAAATTAACACATACAGACCAGGAAGAGACTTAAACACGAAGACACACAAAAGACCACAAAGAGATGCAAAGGAACTGCAAAGAGACACAAAATAACTATAAATCGGGCAAGTCAACAATAAGAAAACAAAAAATGATTACAAGTAGTGACATAAAAAGACCAATAGGACACAAAGTGGCCGGCACAGTGGTGTGGTGGTTAGCACTGTCGCTTCACAGCAAGAGGGTTCCTGGTTCAATCTCGGGTGTGGGAGGCCCTCTGTGTGGAGTTTGCATGTTCTCCCCGTGTGGGTTTTCTCCAGATACTCCAGCTTCCAAAGACATGGAGACTGGAGATAGGTTAATTGGTGACTCTAAACTGTCCATAGGTGTGAATGGTTGTCTGTCTCTATGTGTCAGCCCTGCAATAGTCTGGCGACCTGTCCAGGGTGTACCCTGCCTCTCGCAAAATGTCAGCTGGGATAGGCTCCAGCACCCCCGCGACCCCCAAGAGGATAAGCGGTTAGAAAATGGATGGATGGAGGACACAAAGTTATCTCAAGCAGACACAAAACGGCATCGGACGGACTGTTGTGGTGAGGAGGGAGCTGAGCCAGAAAGCGAAGCTTTCAGTTTACTTGTCGCCTAAACCCTCATCTTTGGTCATGAGCTCTGGGTAGTGACCTAAAGAATGAGGTCATGGATACAAGCTGCCAAAAAAAGTTTCCTCCATGGGGTAGCTGGGTTCAGCCTTAGAGATAAGGTAAGGAGCTCGGACATCCGGAGGGAGCTCGGTGTAGAGCTGCTGCTCCTTCGTATCAAAAGGGGTCAGTTGAGGTGGTTCGGCATCTGATCAGGATGCCTCCTGGGTGCCTCCCGCTGGAGGTGTTTCGGGCACGTCCCACTGGTAGGAGGCCCCAAGACAGACCCAGAACACATGGGAGGGATTACATATCTCATCTGGCCTGGGAACGCCTTGGGGTCCCCCAGGAGGAGCTGGAAAGCGTTGCTGGGGAGAGAGATGTCTGGGGCACTTTGTTTGGCCTGCTGCCCAAGAGACCTGGCCCTGGATAAGCAGATGAAAAAGGATGGATGGATGGATGGATGGAGACACAAAACTGCCTCAAAAAGACACAAAATTATCTGAGAGAGATCGAAAATGACTGCAAAAAGACACAAAACAACCACTAGGAGACACAAAATGACTACAAAGACACAAAGGTGCATATATGGACTACAAAGGGATGCAAAATCACCACAAAGTCTATGGGCTCTAGTTTCGCAGACTGGGCGAGGCGGGGGAGCGCAGCGCACCTGCGCTTCGCCAACTGGGTGTGGCCAGGCAGATTTTGCAAGTTTGGCACACCGTGCGCCTGGCGCAGCTACTCCTCTTTCCCACCTCTGTCCCTCCTACCTGTGCAAGTCGGAAAGAGGGAGAAGAGAAGTTGTGGAGTGGGTTTTACACACATCACACCAATCAAATGAGCCTCTCTCCTCGCCCTTAAATGTGCCGCACGAAGGCGTAATGGGAGTTTACTCAATTCGCCATGGCAGAAGAGAGCAGCAGCATCAGACGGCCAAACTTCTCCCAGGAGGAAACTGATGTTTTGGTCCGGGAGGTCCAAGCTCACAGTGTCCGAATATACGGAACTGAGAGACCTCCATGGGCTGATGATGCAAAGGTAGCCTGGGAGGAGGTCACCACAATTGTAAATCAATGTTGCGTTTCTCTCTTTCTCTCTCGCAGTCTCACTCTGTTTCTTTTCTTTTGGCTTTTCTAAGATGACAGATGCTGAATATATACTCCCTATCTGATGCTGTGGCTGTTTGTGGTTGGCTGAGAGGGATGTGAACTCATTAGTTTGCAACTGTGTTAATAAAAACAGGATGGGTTTCCATTACACGTGCCAAACGTGCCAAACGGTGCCAATCCCCTTTGATCTGACATCAGATGTGACGGGACAGTCGATATATATAGATACATTTATGTGCTGATTGCAGATAGTTGCATTGAATAGTGGGTTTTTTTGGGTATTTATTGCATTATTAATGTGCCTGATATTCTGGAAACCTGCCTGTGAGGTTTTGGTGACGTATGCGCACTGCCCGCCGGTCAGCCAAACTTCGGCTTACACCGGCTGCGCACCGCCTGCGCTGACAGTAGACCTGGTTTCAGCTGGCGAGCTTTTAGTGGACCTTTGGCGAAGCCTTTTGGCACAAAACTGTCACTGTGCCAAGCTGGATCTGTCGACACCTCCCCCTGCTTCGCCGCCACACCCATCTCAGCGCACCTCGGTCTGCCAAACTACCAAACTGGGGCCCTTTGCATATCTTTTCCCAGGGGCCCATCGTTTCATAATACACCCATGGTTAAAAGATGTGTAAGGAGGTCAAGGACACGTGACTCCGCCATATTTGGTTAAAGGAATATAGTTAAAAAAGCGCAGAGTTAATTTAAATAAAAACGTTAATTTTCTGTTTACCATATGAGAAAAAAAACTTTAAAACTGCTTCAGTGACAGATATGTTGTTTTTTTTTCACTGTGGTCACCATGTTCACATGTATAATTATGGGATTATGGTAAATGCTAAAAGGCTGTAGCATCAAAACCCCACTGAATTGAGAGAGGGTGCTTTATTGCTTATAATTATAGCCTTTCATTTGTAAGAGGAAGAATGTCTTATTTCCCTTTTAAAAGTTAATTTATCACAGTTTAAGGATTTTGGAAACATCTTCGAACAGAGGTAAGCATGTCAAGTGAACTGCTTTATTTTTTAAAGTGTCATTTGAATTTATTTTTGAGGAGACAGCAGCTGTATCAGCCACTTCATATTTCAGATATGAAAAATAAGGAGATAGAAGAGTTAGCATAGAGCCGATACACAGGCTACACAGCTAAATGACCAGTATTAAAGCCAGGGGGTTTATGACGCAGTCCTAAAGTCTAATGTCAGGAGACAAGGAGAGAATACAGAGCAGACTCAAGAGTCATGATGTATTTGCGGTCAGCATTAGTGTCGGAGTTTTCCATTGACTACCTGTGAACGTAGCATAAGCAAAGAGGGAGGAGGACAGCCACTTAGTTCATTAGGTCTCCTTTAAGCCTCTCTCCCCTGCTGCCCCTCCTCATTCGCTAGCATGACGCTCCCTCGGCTCTCACACACTCTCTCCCACCCCTCTTTAACTTTCTTTCGTCCTTTAAACTAACTTTTCAACCGTATTGATAATCTTTTTAAACCACCGCTGCCGTGAAGGGAAGAAATGACTGTGTTGTCGACGGGAATACGGCTTCGTGAGCACCGCTTCTGACAGGTAACGTTAACGGCTTTTTCCCTCTCTGCTCCCGTCTCTCCGTGGCCGACATGAACAAGGCTACTTTTGTGCGGAGATTTGGATTATCGATACCATCGATAACTGATACAACTGGAAAAATTCACTTCACTGTTTGATGGAGCGGGATTTCTAACACTAGAATATTATCCCCACAGTCGTGTGATAGCAGAGTTTTTAAATAAAACTGAAAGTTGAACGAAAAGTTAGCATAAAGTTTGAAAAGGTGACAGTAGGATCTTATATCCATGGAGAGGCATCAGTGTCTGTGGAGGGAGGAATGCGTTTTATGGCACTTTACGGTGGTTCACAATGAAATCTCTGCTGTTTTACATTCTTACAATTGTGATACAGTATTTAGTGACAGAGATTAATATGTCGTAACTATTCACTGTATTTAAATAGCATTTCACTTCTACAATAAATGACTTTGAATATGGAAATAGCTAGTAATGCCTGAGGCGAGGTATAAATGTTGATTCAAGTTGTCATTGCTATTGGCTCATTAGGCCTGTGTTTTTTTACAGTGACAACACAATGGCATTCGTTTGACTTTTTGCTATGTATCCAATGATTCCCTAATTAGTTAAAGAAGAATATACTATGGGCAAAAATCACAGCAAATTTAGATATTTGTTAATGCTGCCAAAATGACTCAAAGTGCCATAACGTGACTAATGTATCTGAGACACTTGAAGCAGGGCAGTAGCTAACATTCAGGACCCTGAGGTCATGCCCTGTATTTTTTCTGGGATTTAGGTGGTGCTAACAACTAGGGGTGGTTGCTACACCATAGTATCACGATATTTTTGAGTGGCAATATCATTACAGTACACACCAAGTATCAATTTTTTATAACAGAAATTATTAATAATGAAAATACAAATTAAAATGTTGGTAGCCTACCAGAATAATAAAATGGATTGCTTTTTAGTCCACCAGATACATTTTAGTGCAGTAAAAATGAAGTGAGTTGAACAAACTGAAAACTTAACCTTATTAGAGAAAACAGATGCTGAAAAAAGTTTTTCTATGGGGACTTAATTTGTAGTTGAAAAAAGGCAATCATAATTTATCACAATATATTTTATCGCAATACGCAGCATATCGCAACACCTTTAAAATTGCAATAATATTGTATCGTGACTTAAGCATTGTGATAATATTGGATCCTGGGGCCTGATTCCCACCCCCTACAACAGTGGAGGAGTTTATATTTTACAATTTTAAAACATTTCACATCATTTATTTTCCCAGCTTATTGTAGGTTATAAGATATATGTCAGTTTAATTACCACGAGGCTTTAAAAAATAGGTTAATAATTAACAAGGGCTTGGTTTTAATATCAGTCCTAATTTTGATATTTTCATTACCCTACATTTTAATAATAGTATGAATGATATAGCATCAAAATGTGGACTGATAGTAATACCCAATCCTAATTCATTATTAATCTCTTTTTTGTTTGCCTAGAAGTAATCAAACTGAAGTGTATCCTTTTGATACTTGACACGTGTCAGTGCTCAGCTACAGCAACATGACAATGGTATTTAAAAATAATGAGGTGTTATACTTGAGCCCAATAAAGGACTTTCTAAAGCACGTTTCCACAAGAATTTTATTGCTGACATTTGTAGAGACTGTGTTGAAAAAAAACAATTGATGTTGAATTTTAGAGCTGCAACTACAAATACTTTCTTTATCCGCTTTTCCATTGATTGTTTTTGTTGTTTTGTTTTTTTGATAAATTAACCAATCACTGTCTACAAAATGTAAGAAACTATGGAAAAACCATCACAACTTCCCAAAGACCAAGGGCACGTCTTCACGTCTCTCATTTTGTTGCAGCATCAGTCTGAAATCCAAAGATATTTATTTACAATGATATGAAACAGAAAAAATAGCAGTAAATCTTCACATTTCAGAAACTGTAACCTGCACATTAAAAGATTTTTGTTTCAGCACTACACACAGAGGATCTGCAGTCCCTTTAAAAGATGTCTTATAACTGATTTTATTAATATTGGACCTTAAAAGTCATTGAACTGTCTTAAATTTGAATGTCTGAGGTCTAACTTGTCGCAAACATTTATCTCATTGCATTTATCCATCTTTTAATTTCTTTTTGTCAAAATGAGTCAAACTCTTCTGCGTGAAAGTTTCTGATGTTACAAATCTTTTAACCTACCACTGAACCTAATATTGTCTTTTTACTTTGTACGGTCTAACCTGTTAGTAAAATGTAGATTAACCTAACCCACTCTAATACTCATACTCCTACATAAAACCTACTTCAGACGGGACCACATATATAGCCTACTGCTTAACTTTATGCTTGAATAAGAAAAAAGGTGATTTGTCCAGAAATCAGTCTGAAATTTGGTCTTTAAAACCCTGTTAACACTGGACATCAAAATTATATTAGAAAGACATTTGACTCTTTCATTGGACAGGCATTAAATTTTGGTTGGAATGAAAAGCGGGCAGACGATATTTGAAATATCCAATGACACTAGGATGTCATGATGTGAGGACATTGACATTATGACATTTTGCAGACACTGGGTTTTGTTCTCCATACCTTACAACTCGGTCAGTATGCTACAACATTTGGAAAAGGCAGGATTTTGGTTCCTTAACAACTTAACCTAAAACCAACAAAATATCAGCATCATCTGTTGTCAGTATTCTACATTGAGTGATGTTGGCATTAGACGTCCTCACATTGAGTTTTGGTCGCTTGATGTCACAGCTTAAATTCAACCAAATATCAATGTTGAAAGATGTTGGTGGCCTGCTGGGAAGCATTCAATTTCAATGTCTGATACTAAGTATGAAAATATGGGCTCAGCCTCAGTATTTCTAAAACTCTAGCCCCAGCTCTGACTGTGAGTACCCATAGAATACGTGACAGTGATGCTAGAGTAGATAAGGCTGTCTGAAAGTGCCATGTGGTCTCTCAAAAATCACTGTTATCAAGTAGAACAGATTTATAATTCCCTACTAAAATAGCACCAATTTAATTAAGTGAAATAGCCCAAATCAAGTAAGTTTGGGATCAGTCTAATTCAGTCTTACAGGCATCCTCAATAAAAATAGATCCCTGGCTCCTGCCACAATTTCAGTTTTAGTTTGATAAATGAGTCCAGAATGGTCTTGATAGTTTCGTCTTGGCTACAAGTTCACCTCCCTCATGTTCACCACAGAGGAATGTGATGCCTCACAAGATCAAATGTCAAAATTAACCTCAGAAGAGACAGCATGTACCAACTTTCTCTGTTTATCAAACACAACACAAAAAAAAACATGCATACCCTGGACAGCTAGCTGCATTCAAACGGACCCAAGTCTAGACGATGTTGAAATCACTAGCAAAGGGTTTTCCAGCAGGCCTTTGCCAAGAGCTCCACTAAGGTCATGGAATTTACTCTCATGTTCGGAGCAGAGACGCTGGGCCAACTCTTGTCTTTCTGTAAAGCACTGCAGTTTGGGTTTAGAGGTTGTTTCAGTAGACCAGAGTACTGCAGTAATGGGCCATTTATGACCTCCAGGTCCGCTCGTCTGGCCATCTGGGTGTGCATGGCTAGACTTGTCTTACAATACCAACTCAGAAATAAATCTTGGGAAGTGAATATTGGGTAACACAGTGTGCAGGGTGTAATACAACCCAGATTTGGCTGTTGTGTAGATATAGTGAGTGAAGATTTTATGGCAGGAGGGTACCATTGTATTCTTGGGAACTATAAAAAAATTAGAATTTAGAGAAAATGGAAACTGTCTCAGTTTTAACGACAGTGACTCCTACGTTGCCGGAGTGTAATGTGATTAGTCCTTAGCTGTGCCTCTCAATAATGGTCTACATTACTATGGAAAGCCTGCATCATCAGGACTACAGCTGTATCTAATTATTCAAGGAATGCAGGGCTTTTTGTAAGAAAAGGCTGTGCAGAATATGGGCTGGCTTTCTAAAATCCTTCTCTTCCCCCCTCTGTTTCCCCCTCAGCTGAGCTCCTTTGGCAATGCCACAGTCCCATCTCTGATGAGACGATGAGAACCCACACCCGCGGGGCCCCCACAGTCTTCTTCATAAGTCTGCTGTGGCCCCTGCTCGCCCCAGCGGTGGCAGCGGAAGTGGATCCCAGCGGAGGAATCCCCTTCATGGGAGGCAACTACAATGGTCATCCCATGCTGTACTTCAACCGGGGGGACGTGGAGGAGCTGCAATATGCAGCGGCAGGGACTCATATGGACATGGCAAGGAGGATCCGCGAGGCTGGGGAGACCATGCTGGAGCATCCTGAGATGTACTTGCCCCCCTGGAGCCCCGCAGAGTTCAGCGCCCGCTGGAACGAGGTGTATGGAAACAACCTAGGTGTGCTGTCCATGTTCTGCGTGCTGTACCCTCACAGGGCCGGGGCCCTCGACCTCGCCAAGGACTACATGGAGAGGATGGCGGCTCAGCCTAGTTGGTAGATTTTCTGTCTTTTTTATTATATCATCTCTTTAATTTGACGCAGTGAGATTTCTGCATGAGTAATTTGAACCACCCTTCTCTGATAGTTGGCTGCTTTTCTTTTTAGAGCAACAAATAGAAATCTGCTCATAGTTAACAGATGGTACCTGATATCTGTTTCCAACTCCATGTGTGCATCAACTGGGTATTAATGCTAAATCCTCCCCCTCAGAGGCTTTCTGGTCAGCCCTGTCTCCAGAGTGTTCTCATTTTCCTTTGTGGGCAGAGATCTGGTAAAGATGCATTGTGGTCCGATAAGTCTGTGGTCCAGGAAATATGTTTAGCAGCTGTTTGCTGAACATGAAAGGAAATGAAATGTTCAGATGTGAGCTGAGTAGGGCCACTGGAGGGGCCTGGGCTGAGACTGAAGCTCAGGGTCCAGGTGACCAGAAAGGGATCGATTCCAATCTGCTCTAACTGTCAATATTGTGTAAATCAGTGTTGTGTTGTCTGGATTTATTTTTGGAAGGAATGCACTAGGTTTAACCAGGGTAAGATCAAATGAGCTGAAATTATCCAGTAGTTTAAAAGAAATAGAGAGAATAGAGAAAAGAACAGTTTTCTTTTCAACTTTGACCTTTGTACACCTTTGACCCACTGGTTTACAGTATGGCTATGATGGAATATTAAATGGCCCTAGAATTGTATGGTAATAGTATGGTAATACTCAATAAACACAGTTTAATTGAAAAAGAAATATCTTAGAAAATCTCAAAGCTACATATTACATATACTCAAGACAGGGCTTCAAGCTCGGGTACTGAAACCGGACCCAGTTGTTGGATATTTTTCAGCCTGGACCCTATTTTTCTATGTTGTTGTGTTTAAGTGACTAATGGGAACATCATTTTAAAAAAAAAAAAAACTGGTCCAGTTTTGAACAAAAGGCCTGCTACAAAACTGCACCATCCATGTACATCTCTAAAAGTGCTTTATTTTTGCTACTTACAAGGTCACATTATTATTTTAATTTATTGAAAGGATCCCTACAGAGATAGACCTTTTCATTTTAGAGTAAGATCCTTTTTGTTTAACCAGAAACAGCCCCAAAAATTGCAATCGCCTAACCCACCAGACTCCATTAAAATAAGCAATCATTTCATTATCGTAAAACACACGTCATTCAAAGTAAACAGAAACCAAATAAAACTCACCTGGTTCAACTTTCTTGGTTCCTCTTTTCACTGTTCCAACAATCACCAACTCTGGTTTTGCTGGTTCTATACATGGTAAAATTACTGTTTATTCTAATGGAGTCTGGTGGGTTTGGTGATGGTGATTTTAGTGCTATTTCTGGTTAAACTAAAAGGATCTTACTCTTTAACAAAAAGGTCTATCTCTGTAGGGATCCTCTCCATAATATTGTCAGACACTTAAAATAACAATGTGATCCTGTCTTTTTTTTTTTTTGTTAAATGTTCCCATCAGTCAATTGGACATAAAGATGGGAAAATAGGGTGCAGGTTGGGAAATACTGAACTTACCCTTTAAGTTCGTTATTATCTCCTATGATATTGTGCTGTAGTAGTGCACATTCCCAAATAAAAGTTACTATTGATCATATTATGGTTACCACTACTCTAAGCTTTCAGTTCATTATCAAAGGACAGATCTCATTCAGTCAGGTATGTAAAAAATAGAGATCCTGTTGGAACCCAATGCAAAATTAAGAGGAAAAAATATTACATGACTAGATTTATTGTATTCCCTGCAACACCTCTAATGCTCGACGCAGTAAACACTTCATTTCCCAGATTTTAATTACAGATACATACAAAAAACAAGAATTTGTAAGAACCAGCAGCAACAAAAACCTCCTCACCATACTTAATACCTTGAGATGTACAATCAACAAGTCAGCTGAATCCATCCATTCAGCTCTTGTTTGGACAATCCTCAGGCTTTTCAGAGTCAGCCATGGCTGAACGTCATGCAGGCATCAGCCATCAACAGTGTTTCCTTATTTCCCTAACAATTTGATTAAGTACAATGAACATTAGTTCAGCCTGCAAAGTGCAAAGTGGCTGAGAAGTGGATTACAGCCATTCACGACTTCCTAGCTCTCCACAGCTTTTATTGCAAGAACTAAAGGAATGAAGGTCTGAAAATGACGCTTGGAGAAGGTGGTTGTATTCAGTGTTGGGCTCCATGGTAACCTTCTACAGTTCATTCATTCACATAATCTCACACGATCAATGCTCACTAGCTCACCTCACTATGGATGGTGATTTGAACATTAACCGCCTTTCTTTAAGTTTAGACTTAAATTAGATTTTTTTTAGTACAAAGATAAATATATGTACAAACATCATGTACAGTTATCCACAAACCCAAATCATCCAATCATAAAAAGCCTGGAGATGCTGAAGATACCTTACTCAAATGTAAAATTACAATTCATATTACAGTACAATTATTGTTAATTATTTACTGCAGTGTGGTGAGATCTGTACACATAGGAGCCATAAGTCCACAGAGGCAGAGCAATTGTGAATTAGCTGTCCAATAAAAATCTGAACCTTAACTTTACCTTCGGACAAACTATTGTGGCTGCAAAAGATGTTAGATTTCAACTCTGATACTTAAGAAAGTTTGTCATCCAGTGAGGTCATATATTCAGAACACTACAGAGACATCAGGAGCACCAATATTTCGTCAAGGGGCTTGCTGGGATAAGACTGCTCTCCCTGATCCTCACATCTCATACCAAATTTTCAAACAGGAATTATTTGAATGAATCAACTGCATATTTTAAGTCTAGAGTTACTTTCTCTCCTGAAAAATGTCAAACTCAGTTTGTGACACAGTAACAGTTACTGGACGAAAATGAAAACAGCAATGAGCCTGGCTCAGATTCTCTGCAATTGCCGCTGATTGATGCAAAATGCATTCTGGGATACTTGATACTTGGCTACCTCAAGGCCACACAAGCCTGCTTCTAAAGTATCCTGGACAAATTAGGCGGGGCAACAACACTTCCGATCATTTCGACTGTATTTTGCTGGATGTGGACGTTGAATTGTAACAGTGGTTTGGCTGTAATTGTCTGATGACATTTCACAAGACAAGGAGACACCAGTACAGACAGGAATGCAGATTGAGAAATGCCTAAAGACTTAGATTCAGACAGAAAAGTTGAATTCATAGGCAATGAAATACACCTTGTTCAGTTCAGGATACTCAGGGGTTTTTCCTTCCTTAGTGTTGCTTGGTCTGGTATGACCAATAGCTCATAGTGGCTGGTGTTAGCAGACAGATATTGCTCAGTGACTGACAGTACTCAGTCTGTTCTTTACCTTCACCATTATCCTGTAATTTATTTAATTAATTTAATAACCGGTGCTCTATGCCAGATTGTATTTTATGAACTGATAATCAGAGTCATCGTAAATCAATATATCTATCCAGTTATGCAGTGTGACTAATTCATTCTATTCCAACAATTCCTCTGCCTTGAGCCAACATTTTTACTCCCCCGAAAATGAAACTCTCACTTAAAATTTGCAATTGACATTTCCATAGATAAGATTTCTGTAAGGCGTTATCAACTCTACATTAGTAATTTTTTAATTGCAGGATCCATAAGATTCTCAGCCACTGTATTCTCCTGTCTGAAACTAGTTCTAGAGAAACAAAATACAAAGGATCACAACTACACACCTGCAGTTGGAGTGTCTCACAGCTCTTGTTCCCAGTGGTCAGGATAGAGTGATGTGTTCTGTGACTCACTGTATGAACAGACTTTCCTTTCTCTGACAACTGACATGTCATAAAACATATTCTTTGTTCTAATGTTAGACCAAACATAACAGCAGCAGATGGACAGATGAGCGTGTTCACTTGAAGTGAACCTCAACTTCCAAAATTAAAGGAACACTTCACCTCCAAAATGATCACTTGTATATTAATTAATTACCTCATGTTATGTTGAATTTGTGAAGGAAACATTGTTTTTCTCACATGCCTCCATGGTTTAATGGAGATTGTAGGAACTGAAAGAAATTCTTGATGAATTGGAGTAAATGGGGGCCGGGTTTAACAATAGCAAAAACATCAATTTACAAACTTTCATACAACTCCTGCGGTATAATCCGAGTCTCATTTATCCAGTTGTTTACTCAGAACTTCCCAAACACATAGATTTTCACAAAGACCTGAATACTTAAAACACTTCCACATAAACAGTCTCACACATGGAAGAGAGCACACCTGGGTAAGCGAGTGCTCGTGCATTTCATTGAATTCTCGCCTCCCAGCCTGTTCAGCAGGAGTTCTGCTGTCACTCACGCACGCCTGTCGCAGCCTGGCCAGTAAACAAGCTGGGACGCAGGATTTCAATGGAATGCACGAGCCAATTTCAAATAAACGTGCTTGCCCTGGCACACTACTGGTCCGTGCGTGAGACTGTTTATGCAGAAGTGTTTTAAATAGTAAGGTTATAGCAAACATGCACATGTTTGGGAAGTACTGAGCATGTGACTGAATAAATAAGACTTGGATTATACTGCAAGAGTTGTGTGATAGTTTGTATACAGATGTTTTGATATAGTTTTGCTATTAAATAAACGTGGCCTGTTTTACTTCAATTCATAAAGTATTTTCTCTGTTTTCTGGATTTTTTGTTGTTGTTTTCACTGTGGAGGCATGCCACAAAAACACAGTTTCCTTTTTAAATTGAATGAAACTTGGGCTGAGTAATGGATATACAAGTGATCATTTTTGAAGTATTCCCTTAAATGTAACTTTCTTGGCTGAACTCTTACAGGTGCACCCCCCTCCTCTTTCATGTGAGCAACATAATCCCTCTCATTTTGCTACATGGCTGCTGTGTTGCCTCCAGCCATTGAACAGGTGGAAGGGGATTTTCCCTCAGCTCATTTCTTGAGGGGGGGTTTAAACAGTGTGGTATTAATGCAATTTGCAGGACATTTTTTACCATATCAATGCTTGTGCCACAGTGCAGAAACGTGAAGCCACTGAGCATGTGTTTTCACATCTTAAGAGCACACTGTGAGTTTTCTCCTTGGCCGCACTTTTATTATGGTCACTGAACCTCTGAAGAGTTTGTGCAGAGTGGCTCCAGGAATCAGTCAGCTGTGGTATTCATGACCTTCAATTATGTCTCCAACAACTCCAGGAACCATGTTCCGACGGGGAACTTCTACTTTGTGGCATACTGGTGCCTGCTTCTTTTTGGTTTTTTTTCTTTTTACACAGTCTGTGCAAACATACAGAAGTGAGATTATGTGCTTTGGCATTATTCAATGTACAGTCCAACTGCAACTTGGCATCTCTTACATTGATAGTCTTCCTTTTTGCCTTATGGACATATTGCAGCATAAAGAAGCTATCCATTTGGTGTTCATTTGCATGGCCAGACTGAAAATGATTTTCAAATAAATCTCAGCTGCCACTTAACATGTGGAAACCATGCATCACCAACATCAAACGTATGCTCTTTAAGTAAAAGAACATGACATTAAATGTCATTGTTAACATTTGAACATGTGTTTAAGGGATGTCAGTGAAAAACTGATTCAACAAGGGAGGAACATTCTGGTATTGAGATGCCTCTAAATACTGAATTCATTTCCTTATAGTAATATATTCAGACACATAACACTGTGTAGACTAATGCAGTCCAAAGCAAATGGTCAAAGTTGTCAGGCCATGGATAATATACAGTACAGGCCAAAAGTTTGGACACACCTTCTCATTCAATGCGTTTTCTTTATTTTCATGACTATTTACATTGTAGATCCTCACTGAAGGCATCAAAACTATGAATGAACACATGTGGAGTTATGTACTTAACAAAAAAAGGTGAAATAACTGAAAACAGTTTTATATTCTAGTTTCTTCAAAATAGCCACCCTTTGCTCTGATTACTGCTTTGCACACTCTTGGCATTCTCTCGATGAGCTTCAAGTGGTAGTCACCTGAAATGGTTTCCACTTCACAGGTGTGCCTTATCAGGGTTAATTAGTGGAATTTCTTGCTTTATCAATGGGGTTGGGACCATCAGTTGTGTTGTGCAGAAGTCAGGTTAATACACAGCCGACAGCCCTATTGGACAACTGTTAAAATTCATATTATGGCAAGAACCAATCAGCTAACTAAAGAAAAACCAGTGGCCATCATTACTTTAAGAAATGAAGGTCAGTCAGTCCGGAAAATTGCAAAAACTTTAAATGTGTCCCCAAGTGGAGTCGCAAAAACCATCAAGCGCTACAACGAAACTGGCGCACATGAGGACTGACCCAGGAAAGGAAGACCAAGAGTCACCTCTGCTTCTGAGGATAAGTTCATCCGAGTCACCAGCCTCAGAAATCGCAAGTTAACAGCAGCTCAGATCAGAGACCAGATGAATGCCACACAGAGTTCTAGCAGCAGACCCATCTCTAGAACAACTGTTAAGAGGAGACTGCGCCAATCAGGCCTTCATGGTCAAATAGCTGCTAGGAAACCACTGCTAAGGAGAGGCAACAAGCAGAAGAGATTTGTTTGGGCCAAGAAACACAAGGAATGGACATTAGACCAGTGGAAATCTGTGCTTTGGTCTGATGAGTCCAAATTTGAGATCTTTGGTTCCAACCGCCGTGTTTTTGTGAGACGCAGAAAAGGTGAACGGATGGATTCCACATGCCTGGTTCCCACTGTGAAGCATGGAGGAGGAGGTGTGATGGTGTGGGGGTGTTTTGCTGGTGACACTGTTGGGGATTTATTCAAAATTGAAGGCACACTGAACCAGCATGGCTACCACAGCATCCTGCAGCGACATGCCATCCCATCCGGTTTGTGTTTAGTTGGACGATCATTTATTTTTCAACAGGACAGTGACCCCAAACACACCTCCAGGCTGTGTAAGGGCTATTTGACCAAGAAGGAGAGTGATGGAGTGCTGCGGCAGATGACCTGGCCTCCACAGTCACCGGACCTGAACCCAATCGAGATGGTTTGGGGTGAGCTGGACCGCAGAGTGAAGGCAAAGGGGCCAACAAGAGCTAAACACCTCTGGGAACTCCTTCAAGACTGTTGGAAAACCATTTCAGGTGACTACCTCTTGAAGCTCATCGAGAGAATGCCAAGAGTGTGCAAAGCAGTAATCAGAGCAAAGGGTGGCTATTTTGAAGAAACTAGAATATAAAACATGTTTTCAGTTATTTCACCTTTTTTTGTTAAGTACATAACTCCACGTGTTCATTCATAGTTTTGATGCTTTCAGTGAGAATCTACAATGTAAATAGTCATGAAAATAAAGAAAACGCATTGAATGAGAAGGTGTGTCCAAACTTTTGGCCTGTACTGTATGTGAGCTGCTTAGATTTTGTGTAATTTTCTTTTGCTTCTCTCTTTTTTTGAATGTTAACAAATGTATATTTCTTAACTTTGTGAAGGTCATGGAGATTAATACTTGTAATATCAAGTGCTGAAGCAGATACAAAACTAACTTACAATTTATGGCCTCCAACCTCCAATAGGTTCACTTTTTCATAAGCTCCTTTGAAAGAAAGCATCAATGATCAGTGGCTAGACCAGAGGGGACATCATGGCCTAGGTGCTCTGTCAGATTTCAACAGAATACCTGTGTCAGAACATGATTTATTGATTCGACTCAGGGAAGTTTAAAGGGGGTCTATTATGCTCATTTTAAGTTTCATATTTATATTTTGGGGCATTATTAGAACATGTTTACATGTTTTAGTGTTTGTCACTTTAAGACAAAAGGTCCAGTTTGCTCTGACGAGTCAGCATTTTTGGATCTATCTACATATCTGCACATTTGACATCTGTGCAGCGCTGTCATTCAGTTGCAGCCAGTGAATGACTGCAGTGGAGTATAGTGGCACTTTCTACCGTGAAAAATCACCAATAAAACTTTCACATCTCTACATGTTTCAGCAGGAATATGATCTGAAATCGGGAATAAGTGAACAACGTTAGTAACCAAGATTACATGTTATTAGCATGCAGCTACATGTAGCAGTGTACTCGCAGCCGGGGAATGACTGTAACAGAATATAGCAGAACTTTCTATCCTGAAAAATGACCAGTAAAAGCTTGTAAACCAACTTCTCCACAACCAGACATGTTCCAGCAAGAATATGATCCGAAAAAGGGGAGAATTTTAAAACAAGACAACCAAGATTATGTTTCCCTGATATTAGCATGTAGCTCCATGTAGCAGTGTATGCCTGGAGCAGATGGCCACATAACGAAATCCATCATGAGTTGACATCAGCGTGTAACATATGAAGTCAGAAAAATCTTGGAAAAACAAAGTATTCAGAATTGTCTGACGCCTGAGAATATTGCTGGCTACAGGAGTACTTGTACATGAGGGATAATGCCCAACAAGGTGTCCATTATCAGGAATTAATTGCCAACATAGAGGAGTGAACCATCTGATGTGCCATTATTTCATTATAATCAGCGCCTCTAAGAGCAATTTTCCGCTCATACCACGATCTCTTCCCATTTCTCATTTTCATTTATATTTTCATGCCTTTTGCTATCAAAATCAAAAGTTTTTCACAAGCCATAACTCGTTTTTCTTGCTGACATTATGCAATGGAAATGTTATTCACTACTCCAGTAAATAGGACGAACCTTAGAAACAACTCAGCAACTAGAGATATTTCTTGTCCTAGAACCCTGTGGCTCAGCTATTAGCCAGAAAGCTAACATTATGCTACCAAGTCAATTACATTGCATACAGTTGACAGTTAACAATAAGACTAGCTAGCCATCCAGCCATGACATTGTCTCAAAATCAATATTAAGAACTTTATGAACAAATGGTATGTTAATGTTGGCAGCAGCCTTATGTTGCAAACTGAATAGTAATTGGATGTGAGATGATCACTGATGTGATACAAAGTATCACTAAGTTAGCTTGGAGCTTGTGTGTTTCAGTCTGCATCCTGTGGTGTTCAGAGGATGAGATACTGAAGGACTACAATCAGTGTTGGAATAAATTGTAAACAAGGGCTTTGACTGCATCCCTGTTGTTATAGTTACTGCTACTATTATGGAGGCATGGATTTGAATTTCCCCTCTGGGGGATCAATAAAGTATATCTTATCTTAATTTAGAGCAGTGAACACAGTTTCACTGGAACTACTTGGTGTTAAAAGGTTTTGATGGACACCCTGCAGCCAATCAGAATCGAGTATTGATCCGATCATGGAATAAATACATTAACCCCATTATCTGAAACTTTGGTCACATTTAGTATGAACGTCCAACATTTTAACACATATACCTGACAGAAAATAAGTCAAAGCATAAAAGAGCTGCTTTCAAATGCAGCATTTGGTTTCACCACCACATCTTAAGTTCCTTTCTCTTTAAAGTGGGAAGAATGATTACAGAACACTTTTCACTCTTTTACAACACTTTGCACTCCTAAAACTCACAGAAGTCAGCACTCTTAGATCCTAGCGCCTCTTAACCAGGAGGGAATTTGCTTACACTACACTTTAAATGTCTCATTATAAATCTTTTTATTGGTAAGCAATGGTGCAGCAGTTGCGGTACAAAATGCTTCTTAGCATCTTTATTTTTGCTTTCAAAGTGAATAGATGTTTTACAGCTGTGGTAAAGATAATTAAAAGGCTTTGCAAAGAAAACGTCAAACAAACATTTGCCAGGACTTCATTTAAAGGGTGAAAATTTAACACCTGATTATCATTGAATGTTTATTTTCCACGTGCACCACATATGCCTTGCCTTTAGACTTGTGTTGGTGTTTGTATTGCAGGTTGGTTAAAGATGCCCCCTGGGATGAAGTTCCTCTGGCGCACTCTCTGGTCGGGTTTGCCACCGCTTATGACTTCCTGTATGAGTACTTGAACAAGGGCCAACAGGAGCGTTTCCTACAGGTGATCGGCAACGCGTCACGCCTGATGTATGAGAAGTCATACGTCCGAGGCTGGGGGTTCCAGTACCTACACAACCATCAGCCTACCAACTGTGTGGCTCTGCTCACAGGAAGCCTGGTTTACATGACCCAAGGTTAGTGGATAGAGATTCATGTCTTTGTAATGTGTCTACTGTATGTCTTTGCCCTCGAGGCAGTGGGCTGAAAGATGAGCATGTAGGTCAGTATGTACCATCTGACCAATGCACAAGAAATCTTTACAACCAGTGGCTAAGTTTGTCATGATATTTGATAGAAATATTTACATTCCCCAAAGGAGGATTCCTTGTGTTTTCTGATATTTCAGTTTCACGTATGCCTTTGTGAAAAACCATAGCTTTTGACATGTCAAAAGTTTTTTGACTCCCTTCACTCAGTCAGCAAACTCGTTCCAGCTCTGTATGGGAGCATAAGGGTTAGAAACCTGCCTCGCTCAGCATTAACAAGCTTCATCTTAACTAAAGGAATTTCATTAGTCTGGTTTTCACTGTAGAGGTTTAGTCTCACATGGTGTAAAGGCTGATTCTCAGTAAAAGCCTTACTAAGACTGCAGTTGTAAAAGGACATACTCAAATATTTAATTATTGAGATAGAGCACCAGATTTTGAGATATTAAATATCGGTTTGGGATATTAGATCAGTAATAATTGTAGCTTTAGTTTAGAAATACTTATTCATATCTACTGTACCTCCAAGATACAGCAAATGTTACAGATCTTTTGGCAGACTCCTTTAGCGTCTCCTTTAACTGACCTGGTGACAGATATAACAATTTTTCAGACCACATTAGCTAGCCTCCCTTAAAGAGAATTGCCAATACTGCTCAGTGAATATGAAGTCATACTTGCTCACTGCAGCTTTTTTTAATGATTTAATTTGACTCACCCACTCTATCTTACTCACAAGAGTTTACAAGAATCAGTTTATTCTGATCTGTTGGAGTCTCAAAGTTCACACAATAACCTATATAAAAGGTTTGTGAAATTACAGGTAGATTTAGATGGATGGCAGGTTGAACTAGTCAAGTGCACTCAGTAGAGATCTGCAGATCTCTGCCAGGTGTGTCTGGGGGTGTAATGGTGGGGAATAGGGAGTGGAGGGCAGGCAGTGTGACCAGCATGTGTGCATGACAGTAATTGAAAGGTGCATAGAATAGTATAATGGTCTGGTTACTGAACATCCAGGTTTGCATAACTGTATATACAGTGGAGTAATGGTGTCCTGAGCTGAGAATTAAGTCACATCCTCCATCATCCCATCATTTCTACTGGCTGGCTTAACACCACAGCTCTACACTGCATCATGCAGTGGTTACTGCTGTTAATGATTTTGAAGCATAAGAGCGCTATTAGCACATTAAACGTGTCTACCACTGCTAGCCACCACCGTTTTTGGCTCTCTATGTTTGCTTGTGACGTCAGAGGCTTGCTGGAAATGCCTTTTGCCTTGTGATTTCAGTACTTGCGTTCCTTACCGGTCGGTTTAGAAGTATAAGGAGTCAGCAATCAATGACGGTAAAAAATAGTCAATAGAACAGATTTTTCAACAATTATGAATCACTGCAACCACAAGACGTCCTTACATACAGCATACAGTCATACACACAAAATATTAGGCTGATGGGTCCAGTAGTTTGTGAGATTGGCTGTGGACAGACAAATACACACATACACACAAAGGACCAAACGTATGGTCAAAAGCTTAGCTGATAGAAAATCAGCTAAGGTTTAACGATTATTTTTGTTACTGATTAATTTGGCAATACATTTCTCAATAAATACATCATTTGTCAAAAAAATCTTGACTGTTCAGTTTGAAAAGCTGGAATCGAAAAATGACTAAAATGATTCTTTATCAAAATAGTTGTCAATTAATTTTCTGTCAGCTAATCAGTGAACTAGCCTATTATTCCAGCCCTTAAAGGTAGGCCGACTTTGTCCTTCAACGATGTCTATTAAATGTGTCTTTCAGTGTGTAAATCGATGAACAAAAGTAATCCCTTAACTTAAAGTCCACTTACCGCACTAACTTTTAATCAAGTTCATCACTAGTTTTCAGTTCTAGGTTTTCTAATGTAATACCTCTAATATTCAATGACAGCACACCACCAGGTCTTCAGACTAAAAGTACATATATGTACTGTATATGGTATGGGTCATGTCTCCTAATTTGGCTGGTGAGACTTGCCAACCTCAGTTTGCTTCTGAGAGAAACTTTGACTGGAATTTCAGTGAAGTCAGCCAGAGGTTATCTGCCATGGCTGCACTTAATCCTCTGTAATTGTTCTCCAGATGAGGTTCCTCACATAAATCTGCCACATTGTGCATAAAAGGTTTGGTACTTATTCTCTTTGTGAGACCTCGCATTATTATTTACTGCCTAATGTCTCTTTTTGCCTCAGTATCCTGCACCGAATATTTTGAGTAGCAGCAGAGAAAGGCCATCTGAAGGTAAACACCTGCAGGGCAGCTTGCTTTGCTTACAGGGATTTGATTTCTGGTACAAAAGATCCAGTCCTGATGTGAACTAAATGACAGCTGACTTACAGAGAACTGCTGTGGTCACAGTGGTTTTATTTGAGGCTTTTTTCTAGAGGGCAACAACAGGCGCAAAGCTCTGTGAACACTCAGGAGAGTTATAGCCTGACCTGTTTTTGCTTCACTTCAGTTTGCGTCAAGCCCAGGAAAAAGTGAGTTTGCTACGCCAGGCTCTGCCGGTCTATGTTACCTGTGAGGGATTGAGCTCAGCTGCTGCTGGGGTGCTCTGTTTATGACAGGTTTTATTTATTAAGTGTCCTTTAAAGCAGACTTCATGTGGAGATGATAGATTGATACCTAGCAGAAAATAGCTTCTTAAAAGATTGCTAACATATGATGTATTTGCAATGATTTAAAAAAACTCTCATTTTAGCTGCTTTGTTTAGCAGGCTGTCTCAAGTGCCTCATCTAAAACTGTGCAGAGGCCTGACTGCATTCCACTATCTTCTATGCATCATTCATTTCCTGTGCAAAGAGATGACATTACGTCCAAATATTGTTCTGCCAAGATGAATAAATGGAAAGTTTCCAATATGCACAACCAGAAAAGAAGAAAAAACTCTGTCTTCTTTTTCTTCATTGGTTATCTGACACAGGCTTTAAGCCCATTTCTGACATTTTGGACTAAGTTATTGTTTTTTCATTATTTTGGGCCCTAAAATAACACGCTGTTACAATGAACAATTCCTGTGCCACTCACTGAATTTGGAAATATGAGTCTCTGAGTTTAGTTCCTGGGACATGCTGACAGACTTCAGTGTAGATAACCACATAAGAAGGCAGCAGCACATTCCAGATACAGGTGTTTGCTTGTTGGTGCCTTGAAGCTGAATGTTCAGTTAGACAGAGCTGTGCACAGTTTACTCACAGTTAATCTACAGGGAACCCCTACTCCCTTTCTGTCACACCCTCGGCCAAATGTCTGCCAAAGTGATGCATTATTGACTATGGATGTGGCAGTCAATGCTTAGGTCGGCTTAAGTGCTTATAAAACAGCTTGGAATCCTATTAAAGGAGATGTATGCACGTTCAGAGGATTAAAATAGCACGAAGTAACTACTTACAATGTAAAGGTTTAGTGGAGTAATGGCATCCTAAGCAGAGACTGAACTTACGCTTCCTCTGTGTGTGTTGTAATCTGAGCTTCTCTATTCTTTGTTCTGGTAGCCAGTCTGGCCGTGCATGCATGTAAGTGCATGTGAGTCCCTGTGTGTATATCCTACTTGCTATCTTATTCCTGTCGCTCTGCACTCCACCATGAAAATTACCTGGATCTTCCACATTGTTGGTCCCATAGAGCAAGCGCACTTTAGGCTTATTGCGATGGAGCACAGCCAAGTGCGGCCAAGCAGCTAACTTCCACTGGTGATACTCAAAAAAATGTTTCCCCTTTTTTACAGGCATCTCTTTCACAATGTAAGTCTATGGGAAAAAGTCATTTGGGCCTCATGGCATCATGTGACAGTGTAATTTCACTTTTGGCCACTTGCAAAATTGGCTTTAAAGCCCAACACTGTTCCTGGGGGGCTTCCGCTCTGCTCCACGTTAACACTGTTAGCTCTGTCTGCATTGTTGCTGTCATTAACATTATTTGTGCTGTTAGCGCCATTAGCTGCTAGCTGCCAGCTTAGCCACCTCCATGTTGTTAGCCGTGTGCATGCAATCCCAGATCACACAGATATGCTCTGAATGTCATATTTCAGTCCTTTAAACCATTTGGAAAGTTAGGTGAAGATACTGTAATGTCAAGTTCCCTTATTCCAAATTAACTTGGAGGATAAGGGCGTATTAAACAAGAATATGGAACTGTAGGCTGACAGATTGATTTGTTTTGTAAACCACATAACAAAATACTGATTGAACTCATTATCATATTAATTTTCTTGGACACACTAGACAGCAGAGGGTTACAGTAGTCCAGTGTGCTGGAAATAAAGGCATCAATTAACTTTTCTATGTCTGCCTGTAAGAAAAATGGCATGACTCTGGCAGTATTCCTTAAATGATAGAAAGACACTTTAGTCACATTTTTATTGTGGCATTAAGAATTTAGGCCAGAGTCAGTGATGATGCCAAGGTTTTTTTTATCTGTTTGCTAGTGTTTAGTGCAAATAACGGAAAGTGGTCAGACAGGTTTTCTCTCGTAGCTTTTGCTGCAATATCTAGAATCTCAGTTTTGTCATGACTTAACTGTAGGAAGTTCCAAGTCATCCACAGCCTTATGTCAGAGATGCATGCAATCAAGTTGTGTAATCCTTTGAGCTTACAGTGATACATGCTGGGTGTTGTCTGCATAATTATAGAAATTGATATTGCAGTTTCTTTTAATATTGTCCAAGTGGTAACATGTACAGACTGAAAAGAATTGGGCCTGAGATTGGGCCCTGTGGAATACCACATGTCAAGTCTCTTTTATCAGGGTAGCCCTCATCCATGACCACATAGAATTGTCGACCATTTAAGAACTGTGCCAGAGAGACCCCAGCAGAATATCATGATGTACAGTATCGAATGCAGCACAAGATATAACAGGAGAAGCAGAGAACTTTTACTAATCG